TGCATACTAATGTGCGAGTGTGTGAGGGAGAGGAAACATTTATGAAATTTTTCAAACGCTTCTAATGTCTGAAAAGGTTACCCTCTGATCTCACCATTCATTTGCTACAGAAGCACCACTTCTTTCACTGAAAATTTTCATTTTTGGGATTTTAAACTAACACATGCCATACATGATTAATAGCAGTGGCTATTCTGTCCAAAACACTGAACATCAATAATTCATTTGGAGGTTACAATGATTCATTTCGCTTTCCCGTCAGCCAATGCATTTGGTGCGTATTGTTGTTTTTGATGTGTTGCAGCACTTTTCCAAATGGAAGAGAGGAGAGACAATATTAGCCATTGTCCTTGGCCAGGATGCCACATTAGAGCAAACCAAATGGCTGGTAAAACATGTTTACTTTGCTAATAAAAGAACGACTAATGTGTTTCAATTTTGTCGACTTTGTGTTCATATGTGGGATGGAAAAAAAACGAACTTGTAGGGCTGAATTCATGTTGACTGGGACACATTTTGCCATTGGGATGACTGGGGAAAAGTGCCAGAATCAACCTAAAATCACAGCTGAATATAAAACACATTTCATTTTGACGTACAGAGGGAGCAGGTACACTGTAAAAAAAAAAAATATGTATATATATATATATATATATATATATATATATAAAATAGGGTAATACTTTACTTGAAGGGGTGTGCATGAGACTGGCATGACACCTTCATAACCATATGTCTTGAATATGAAATAGGGTTTATGCATGTTTATGACAACTGTCATTAAGTGTCTTTTGCTCAATGACATTCTGAATGCAAAAAAAGACATTGTTTAAGATGTCTTTGTAATGACATCTTGACATAAACCAATACATCATAACCTGTCAGTGTCATCTCAAACAATGTCATATTTGCATTAAAAATGTCATAACTGAGCAAATTACACTTAAAGGAGTAGTTCACTTTTTTGCTGATAATTTACTCACCCCCATGTCAAGATGTCCATGTCTTTCTTTTTTTCAGTTGAAAAGAAATTAAGGTTTTTGATGAGAACATTCCAGGATTTTCTACATATGATGGACTATGTGTCCAATGTGGGCTGAGTCGTATCGAGGAGCTCGCATCCGTTATATCACTTGCACTCTCTCTCTGCCAATGAACCAGTGAAGACTGCGAGAAAGTGTAGTACTGACACCTGCTGAAGTATTCTGGTAATATTGAGGGATGTATTCTGTGCAATTTCTCCAGTTCTGCCTCTCTCTTTCAATTTTATCTTTGACCCCGTGCCAAACTTTAGTCATCCTTAAAAGAAATACATAATGTCACAACCCTTTGAAAGCGTAAGGGTGAGGTTTATATAGCGTTAAAATTGCCTTGAATGAATGTTCTGGTTTTTTTGTCATGGTCCTTGATGTTCAGCCTCATGGATCAGAACAAATTTTCCAGTCACACTTTTGCTGCTGGACTGCAGTTTGCTTCTGCTTTCAGCTTCAGTCTTTATTGTAGTATCTTACTAAATAAGGTGCTTTTAATTTGCACACATACTGCCATAGACTTTAATTGTCTAAACATGGGAGAACATTTGAAAGGTAGTGACCTTTTGTCAACATTCCAATCAACAAATCGGATTTGAGGAACAAACTTTAAGTTTAGGCATTGATTTTAGGGATAAATTATGGGTATGGGTAGGTGAGGATATAGTCAGGACTACATTTTCAGCCAGAAATGTTGTTCCAGGATCAATAAAATATGTAGTTTTAGCACAATAAAGGTGACAAGGTCAGATATTATTTATGATTTTTTTTAAACAAATCTTGTATGTTCACCAAGGCTGCACATATAGCCTGGTTAAAAACCAGACCATTCTCAGTTGTAACTGAGTTATGGTCTGTCTGGCAAAGCGTCGCCAAGACAAATCATTTACAGAGAGGCGTCACCAACGGACGTCGCGGGTAGACCTAAAACCAATTAGAGCGATGAAGGAGATGACGTATGCAGAGCGGCTCGGCAGAGAAACATCTCCCAGTGTTGTTCTCTGCTCGGTTTTTAACAAAAAGGAAACGCTCAAATGGATTAAAACAGACGCGAGTGATAATGTAGGCTTACAAAATCTGCTTCAAAATTCCGGCGCTGTCATCATTGTGTAAACCCCGCCCCAACGTTTCTGATTGGTGCCGCGACTTCGACGGATTTGAAATGGGCTTGAATGAGCTCTTAGCCAGACAAACTTTCAGAGCAAATCTAAATTCGCTCGAAATTATCTGGGTTTTCCCAGGCTACATATATACAGTAATATTGTAAAATATTATTAAAGCTTAAAATATTATTATTATTATTATTCCAGTGATACAACCTATGGATGCAACGCTTGATTTTGGATTTTCAGCATCATTAGGCCTACTTCCGTCTTCAGGGTCACATGTTCTTTCAGAAATCATTCTAAAATGCTGATTTGATGCTCAAGAAACATTTATTATTAATATCAGTGTTGAAAACAGATGGATTTTAGAGGAGAGAATGACAAGGAAACAAAAAAAGCAGCATACAGGTGTGTGTTGTTCATTTCACACTTCTGTTATGTGGAAAACCTCTCTGGACGACTGATAAATGCAATTATGTTGACAGTTGTGAGGCACAAGATTATTTTCAGCTGTGAGCAGCTAATGAAGCTATTTCTCACTGTGACATTTTTAGTGACATTTTTATTGTGAAAAATGTTTTATTTGCAGATCACAGTCTCAGGTGCATAATGCCTGTTTTGAGGAGTCACGGATCGATCGTGTCCACTGCTGATTATCTATGTGGTAAAAGAGGTCATTAAGAACTGTGGACAGCAGCCACAACATGTGACCTGGAGGCAAAGATGAATGAAGGAGGACAGACGGGACTTATCAGCACTTCATGATGGAAAGGTAGGAAAAAGTCCTCCGTTTTCAAGTCACAGTCCAGCTTTGCAGACACTGTGAAGGATTGATCCAATCAATCATCAAATGATTGTAGATTATCCTTTCAGACAGAACCACATATATACATTCCTTTTTTCAGAGCATGGCTATAGGCTAACTTTTCTTTCTGGAACTGCCATTAATGATAATAAGTTGGATATATATATATATATATATATATATATATATATATATATATATTATGGTTCAATTCTTTGAACGCTCTACAAAGTGGACTGATGGACTGAAGTGAACGCCTCAAACTGAGAAACAGCAGATAGTGGCAGAATTACTTTAGCTTGTACAGCGCGCAATACAGCTATTTTATTTGGTTGACTTTCAACTTTTTTATGTCATTTGTGACACTTTATTCATATATAACATTGACTTTGGAGTAACAGTCAGTGCAGAGTCTGAATAATGCCGAACACTTCATCTTAGTGTGTTGACACCTGTGGCTTCAGGGTTCAAGCTTCTTTTATATATGCTTGACATATATTTCAAACCTGCTACGTCTGATTTCCAGATCATGAGAATGTTTATGACAGGTTTATTCAAGGCACTGCCAGTCTTGCTAATTATTAAGTTAGAAAAGGCATTATATCTTTTTCTTTCTTTCTTTTTTTAGCTCTTCATCTGCAACGCATACAACAGAAATAAACAGACACAAGAGATGGGGGTGGCGGAGGGATTCTAAAGACTGTAGAACATCCTTAGGTGAGTTTGACTGTATTTATGGTTTGCCTTCGTGCTGATTGGGTAGATATGTTGATTACTGATTGAAGACAGCTGGAGATACTAGAGTAGCCCATTTGACATGTTCCTCCCAAACTATGTTAATTAAACATAATTAAGCTCCATATATCTGCTGCAAAATGTTCGTGTGAAGTTGACTTTGAAAGTAATGTTTCTGCCCAAAAGTATAACAAATCTATAGTGGGATCATTTATAATAAATCTTTATAAAATCTGTTTTAAAAAGCATAAGAAAAGTTAAAAAAAAAATCCAATGAATATTTCAATTAAATTGAATGTAAAAAAATGTCAAGTGGTGTAACCACATATTGTCTGTAGATTTTTTTTTTTTTTTTGGTCAAAGCTTTTCACATGAAATTGACTAAAAACGCTGTATTACTCACGCCAGGCCAGTAGTTGGCGATGTCACTTTATAAAGAGAAGAACGCGTTTAGACTGAACACGTAATACACCTGCGCATGATGTCACCGTTTTCACAAATTTACGTTTTGGTAGTTTACACCATAGATATCTATAATAAAGGCTAGATGTCTCATCCACACTGCTGGCCAATGGAGGTCGACGTCCGCATCTGGCGGCCATCTTGTCACAGGCAGCTCACTCACTTGTAACATTGTGTTTCAACAGTGCATGTACTTTTTAATTAACCATAACTTGCTCAATTTTCTACCGATTTTCAAACGGTTTGGTTTGTTATAGACATCAGAGATGTAGTTATTACACACTGCATACTTATGAATAATAAGTTTATGAATAAATAATTATAGATTATAGCCACGTTAATAATGTTTTAAAGAAACCAAACCATTTGTAAATCCATCAAGATTTCAACAAGATACGGGTATATGTTCGTGTTGATCACTCATCTTACATCAGGTACCACAGAGCCCACCATAGAGACTCCGCCATAAGACATCTAGCCTTTATTATGGATATCTATGGTTTACACGGAGATGATAAAGGTATTGTTTTCAAAATCTTGCTTCAAAAGTTTGTTTTCAGGCCCCCAAAACGCTTTTGTCAGTTTCCATTTTTTCCATAAACTTATCCATTTTTAGTTAAAAACTGTGTCGTGTAAACAGCCCCAGTTTGTCGGTCATATAACATACAAACCTGTTACATTTATCATTATTTGAGGTTATAACTTGTCAAAATTATTGTTAATGACAAATCCTATATGTACTGCAGTGATTTGGCAGATAAAAGTTTTTTTTTCCCAAATACTAATACTTTTTTTTTCTTAAATGGAAAAATAATAATCATCATGGTAAAACATTTTACAATAATTTCAGTCATTCACTGGTTACACCGCCCTGACATGTTATATTTTAATATTCACCAAAAAAATAGAACTTGAACACTTATCGTAATAGTGCAGGATTCTGCTCATTGTCTGTATGAATTACATCAATGTACTTTGGATTAACTTAAAGGGATAGTTCATCCAAAAATTAAAATGGTCATAATTTTCACAACTGTGCTTTTTGATGATCGAAAACCAGTGAGGTTTGTTCTTTCAAATCAAGAAAACATAATTGAGCATCCATGTTTACCATATTTGATGAATGTATGTGCATAAGTTTATATGTGCATAAAAGCTTACAATATGTTTATCGTATAGATTGTGTGTCTTCAGAGGAAGGAGATGAAACTGCTTGATTCACGTGAATCATTTTTTTTGTACTATGGTTGTGTGAGACAAAAATCATGAGATTATATTTAAAATATCTTCATCTGTATACTGAAGATAACAGTTTTGTGAGTTTGTAACGGTATGAGGGTAAGTAAATGATGACAACATTTCCGAATGAACAATCCCTTTAATTCCAGAAAACAAACAAACAAAAAAAGACCGCCACATCTTTGACCCATATGTAATTTAACTTTGTAGAAATATATACAGATGAACATACATACATGTATATGCATATTCTTCAAGTTATATAATCATCAAGTGTCAATATTTTAGAATCTTCACTGTATAAACTCAATCCCCTTCTGACCACAGAAACCAAATATAGGCACCTTAAGAATTCCTTTGCACTGACTCAATCAGACAAGCCCGTGTTTGTCCATGATAAATGATGGATCCACGAGCGAGCTGCAGTTGTCTTTATTTGACTGTTTGATGAAGGTAGATATGGCCTCGTTTGATATTGTAAAAAATATAAGTCAATAAAACGGTGTGATTGTGCAAGAAAAGCAAAGAGCAGCTTTTTGCTGAAATTTCAACTTTAAAAAGAGTCTTTGTTCCATCTGAGAACAGCAGCAGTCTTTGGGGAGAATGTAATGTAGACAAAGTCCTTTTAAGGCCATTTTCTTTCTTTTGTAGGTTATTAACACATAAGCGCAGCTACTGAAACTGCATGAAAAGGGGAAAGACTGCCAAGATTGTTTCACGAATAAAAATGACGAAAGCAGGATCACACATTTGCCTCAATCACTTTAAAAACGTTTTCCCCCAGCCTGATCCATTCAATGCACATGCTCGTTCTAGAGCCCAGCTGGCTCTTTTCAAAATAAAAGTGGAACTTCCAGTCCTTCTGTTACCATATTCAGTTTTACAATTTCTTCTACTTATTTTCTGTCCATCTCCTCCCCCTTTTTATCGTCTCTTCTATTGGTGTAGTAAGTGTGTTTGGCACTGTTGTTTTCTGGGAACTTGTCTTGGTCAGTCCTTGCCTTGTCATTTCAAAAGAAAAATAAAAGTTACAATTTGCTGCCTTTCAGAGTCCATAAAAGTTATTTTTAATATCACGTAGGTGTCCCCATGTCACTGGCCAAGACATGTCTGATAGACGTTTCATGCTAATAGATCGCTCCATGCTTAATGTTGTGTTAACCATCAGGAGCTTTTCGCAGCCATCGGTAAAACTGCTGCTGGAACAGGATGTGCCATTTTACATTAGCTTGAACGATCTCAACGGCTCGAGCGAACGCAGGTGCCGACTCTCCCCCGCTGGTCAGGATGAACTCTTTCAGCTGAGGAGAAGATAACACATTTTCATTAACTTGATAATCGTATTGTGTCTGATGGATCAGAAATAGAGATTTTGTGTGTAGAGACCACCTCTGATAGTTAAACAGCGTCAGAATATACGACGCATTTACATGCAAATGCCTGACATGTAATTTAGGAGATAACAGTGATGTTTATGATAATGAGGAGTGGGAATGGATCTGAAGTAAACAGAATTATCCGTGTTGTTTTTGTGGAAGAGAAACCTGGCCTCTACTATCATCAATAACAAACATGAAAATCTCATTAAAAATCTCCATTTACCAAACTACACGTTACGAAAACAATTCCCAGTTCCCGAGGTCATGAGATCGACATGAACGAATATGCGCTGGGATTCAGTATTTAAGCTGCTATTTTGGTCTTGAACTATATCAAAAGAATTTTTTTAAACAATCAATTGAAACCTACAGAGTTGAAAGTATCACTGATCTAACGGTGAAACTGTGGATGAAGTGCTCTGGCAGCGGCTGATTGTCAATGACAGTATGCTAATGCTCTGTTGAAGAAAACACTGAGGGGGTTCGTATTAGCGCTGTATGAATGATAAATTGTGGAAGACGAAGTCAGCTGGAAGAGAAAGTGCTGCGCTGCAGTGAGAAGCATCAGCAGTCTGTGTCCTCTGGGACTGAAGCTGAATGAATTTGAATAAGTGAATATACGTTCCATTTCCCGTAATATGGTTAAGCAGTTACAATGAGGAAATAACCCAACAAAGTTTACTTTTATTTATTTTCTCCATCTCAAGAATTTTGCTGACCAATGTTTTCTGAAAGTATTAATGTTCCATGAAGATTGGTCAATAGTTCATTAGTGCTTTAGATTGAATGGTGGTGTATAAGCCTGAGGATGGTGTATAAGTCAAGACTCACCTCATTCAACTCGGCCTCAGTGTTGAGAAACTCCGTCACGCCGCTGATTAATTTGGAGTTCATAAACAAAGCTTCTCCATACCTGCGAATGAGACACATGGAGTTCAAGCTCTGTCATTAAAAACACTGGAGCACCATTTTAATGAGCTCAGTAGCAAACAAACACCAATAGATATTTCCCAAAATGCACTGTGGTCCTCCAACATGAGAGTGCGAATGTGAAATTCATTTGTTCAGGGACTGAGAGGAAGGTTAAAGTCACTGATAAACAGAGAATCTACATTCACCTGGAATTCAATATGTCCCACTTCTCACGGAAATATCTCCATGCTAAATGTCTTCCCAGCGGATTGCGGCCAACATGTATGATGACATCGATCACGTCCTGATCCGGCACCAGGTCAGAGGTGAGGGACAGATTCAGGAGCCTGTGGACAAGACAATAAATAAGAGTTTCCTTAGTTAGTTATCATATTTGTGATATCGTGACTAATTGTGCTATTCGTAATCCATTTTGCTATGTTAGTTTTAAGCTCAGGTAAATCTGAGATGGACAGCCACTCACAGGCCCGGCGAAACACAATTATTCAAATATGTTCTCAATAAGTCGGCATCTTCAAAAAGTAATTAACCTGAGAAGCCCAAATCAAATGCAGACAGACCCATTCGATTCAAATTGGTGCGAAATGTCAAGTAGATGAAAAAGGAAGAAATAGGAAATGAGGTGCTACACAGAAAGACGCTTCCACGGTGCACAAGTTTTCAATTTGCAATAACAAATGGGGTAATTGCTTCATGTGGTTTGGTCTCTTATTTCAGATCAACTGCTCTTTTGGGCTTTTGACTTTCTTTCGTCGTCGAGTCATTTGTGGCTCCTATTCACAAACACCCTGGAGATTATTGCCACGCCGACAAACACATCTGTGTGCGGACGGCAGCTTCACAGCTCGCAAACGTGACATCCTGCTTCCTCTGTGGACAAGTGTGAACGCTTTCAGAAGAGTTTGTTTTGCTAATTCTATAATCACTTTTATGTTCAGATCAGCATTTTTATATTGTCTTGAGAATACACTGTGCACAGCATGTATATTTTCTATATGTGAAGGATTTAGCGAAATACAGTATACAAATGGAACACACTATGTGAAATACTGTATCCCATAATGCAATGTGCTTGAACTGACCATCCATTCCCAGTGTTTAAACATCTTTGTTGATCCTGGAACAACATTCCAATCAACCAATCAGATTTGAGGTTTTATGTCAAGTTCAGGCTTACAACCAGGGTTAGGTGCTTCTACATCAGTGTTTTTCACCTTTCACTTCCTTCTGATTTTAGGAATAACTTGCATATATGGGTTAGGTTTAGGGGTAAGGATATGGTTAGGATTTAATTTTCAAACAGGAATGTTGTTCCAGGATCAACTGAATATGTTAACCCAGGAACGCACCTAACTCTGCAAAAACAGGACGTACCATAATTGACAATATTTTACATTATTTAAAAAACAATAGCATACAGTATTCAGTGAGCAGTACGCTAGGTTGTTTTTATTCATACTCTAAGGCTGCACAACATCTCTAGCAAACACACACACACACACACACACACAAAGAAAAGATTCTCCAGGGCCTGTAAAGACTTCGGTTTAACCATCAACCTGAAGAAGACGAATGTGCTGGGTCAAGATGTGGACACACCACCACCTATCATTATCATCGACAGTTACAAACTTGAAGTGGTCCACCAGTTCACCTACCTGGGTTCCACCATCAGCAACACCGAAAATCAACAAACGCGTCGGCAAGGCTTAAACATCTCTAGGACTGACCACTCACGTCTGGGAAAACCAATGCTGACCACCCAAACCAAGATGGCAGTGTGCAAAGCCTGCATAGTCAGCACCCTCCTGTATGAGAGTGAATCCTGGACAACATGAGCCAAGCAAGAGCAAAAGCTAAACAGACGGGCGGATCCCCAAGGACATCCTCTATGGTGAACTGTCGAGTTGAGATACAAAGATGTCTGCAAGTGAGACATGAAAGCCCTGGACATCAATACAGATATCTGGGAGGACACTGCAGCTAACTATGCTCAAGAAACAGCTAAATACAGGCGAGGAGAAGATCTTGAAGCCAGGAGAGGAGAGGAGAATTAGTCGGAAGACACACACATTGACATCCACCACTTTGGGCACTCTTAGGGCGCAATACCCATGGTCGACAAATGACGGAAGGAGGCCTACTAGATTAAATATCACAAACACACACTCTCACACACAACTCATCTGGGACGGGGGGCTTTGCTTGTGCATGCTGTGTGAAATTTAAGTGCATCTAAAATCAGTGAACTGCTGCTAGAGGTCCTGTTTTTGATGTCCAACACTAGAGCAAAGATGGACGTATGAATGCTGCAGTAGTCATGAAATATTTTATGTTAACTGTTCAACCCAAAGCTGCTGAGTCTTTAGTCATCTTCAAGAATCTACTAAAGACGCATCTCTTTCACCAACATTTGACTGAATAATACTTTCTATATTATATATATATATATATATATATATATATATAAAATCCTTGCTAGTGTGCTGCACTGGTCTAGCGGAAACTGGTCACAACATTTACATATTGTTGCCCTATTGTTGATTTGACTGCTTCTATTCCTCGCCTCATTTGTAAGTGGTTTTGGATAAAAGCATCTGCTAGATGAATAAATGTAAATGTAAATATTTTGAATGAAATGATGCCACCAGCATCACTTAAAAAGAAGACGGGTTCATGACAGATTGTATAGTTTTATACTTAAATGGCTTTTTAAAGGAGAACCACCATTAACTGAGTAAGTTAGACTTAAACTTTTTAATCAGGGTTTAAGGAATCACTCCTTTGGGACTTCATTTGAGGGAAGTACTCAGACATTTGCACATTTGAATCATGATAGAGCTGTTGAGAAACGTTTGATCTTTCCAAAGTCACGCTGTTCGGGTAACCAAATTTAAAGTCATATTCAGACACAAATCCAATTGGGCATTTTAGGGCTGGACATGTTAATTTATTCACACTAAGAGATAATTATGTGGTTTCAATAACATGCAACAGATCTGGTGTCACATGTCTGTCCTGTCTTTGTCATGCACATGAGTTTACCCAGACAGCAAACTGACATTGAATCAACGTGGAAACGACATCTCTCATGACATTGAAACAATGTTGATTTAGCTCATCGAATTAACGTTGAACCAACGTCAGACGCGGCATTCTTCAAAGGTAAATGAAAATCGAAAATTGGTTTGCTTTCATAACGTTGAAACAACGCGTTGATTTCAAGTTGATTTTCTGTTAGTTTTGAAAGAACGCGTCTGACGTTGGTTCAATGTTAATTCGATGAGCAAAACAATGTCAGATCATCGTTGTTTCGATGTCATATTTCCACGTTGATTCAATGTCAGTTTGCTATCTGGGTAGTTATGTTGAGCCATGTGCTCTTGTCGTTGTTTGATCCCTCCCCTTGTTATCTGATCATTGGTTTAATTGTCCCACCTGTTATCCTCGTTTACCTCATTGTTGCCTGCCTATTTAGCCTTCCTGTGTTTGCTGTCCTGTGCTCGTTCGTTGTTAATGGTATGGTTATGTTGTGTGTAGTTCTGTGCCTGCCACGTCATGTCTTTGGATTTAGTTTTGAGACCTGGATTTCTTTTGTTTGGTTTGTTTGATTTATGTTTCACTTAATTTAAAGCTTCAAATTTACTCTGCATTTGAGTCCTCACTCCACTCTATCTGGTACATTGGCATTAGTTTAGGTTTTTGAAGCTTCCTTATGGATTTCATTTAATTCTGAAGTTGAATACATTATTAGACATTCATTATATGGCACTAAAACAATTATTATTAATGAAAGATATTTGAAGCACATAAAGCAACACTAAATCCTCTAGGCAACAATGAATGAGGCATTATCATCACATTGAACAGATATGCCAAACACCTTTATTACATGGGAATTCATTAAATGGAAGAAAAAAAGAAGTGTAGAGCTCCAGATATCAACAGTTAAAAATTCAGTAACAGGTCCTTCACACATCATGCTTACAACATGCATTGGAGCAATAGGTGCCAGTTTCTAATTAGCACATGAGTGTTGCTAGTGGCTGTTTTTTTTTTTTGGTTTTTTTTTTGTCTGGCACTTTCAACACCATCACATCACTACTGCTGTTCTCACCCCTCATCATTGGTTGTGTGGTGGGGGAAAAAGTTCCTTGTCATTTTTTATGCACATTTCTTTAAAAAAGTTCATCTAGTTTACTCTTCCAACATGTGTTTTAGAAGATGGTTAGCCACATTTACCAGATCCAAACTACCAGCCAAGATGGTTTGGCAGCTCTAACCAGGGGTGTGTTTCCAGTACAATGACGTAACTTGATGCTTCACTACCATAGTACGATGCATCGTTGAAGAAAAAAAAACTAGTTAGTCACGACCAAAACCATACTGTCGCAAAGTGGTCGTTTAACCACGTTGGTTTATGACGTCACACACGTGGTGGAGTAATAACTTGTTTTAATGAAACTGTTTGAGATCCAATTAATGCTAGATGTTTTGATATAAATTACAGACATGGCATCTGAGGAATATTTCTAATTGTTCTCAGTTATTTCGCTTTATTTCCAGATTCAATCATACGCTCGTTCGTCTTCAAAAACGGTGCTTTAAATCTCTTGACAAACTCAAAGATGTAACTGACAATTGTATGTAAATAAAAGACACCGGTTGTACTGAATGTCAGCTTATTTTGCTCAAGATAAGGATTTATTAAGTCAACATGTCATGGAATCTAGAAACTATGCCTCTAACCACAGGTCGAGATATTAAGGTTAAAGGTTAAATTAATCTTCATTGTATTAACTCAAATTTTTCCATTTCTATGAACTTAAAATTTTAAGGCAACCAGGTTACTTTTTTTTTTTTAAGTTAAACCAACAATATTTTTTTACAGTGAACGTAACCCTTACCAATAACCATTGTTGGTGTCAAGCCAACTTAATGTAAGCCAGGAACAAGAGCAGAGGGTGGTCAAGCTCGAGACTGAGTCCACATGCTCCTGAGTCCATGAAAAGACCATATTTTTTATTGGTACAGATCCAAGACCACACATTGATTCAGGGGCATGTAGACTCTCTCTTGACTCAGACTTGACTCAGACTTCAATGACCTGGTCTCAACTACAACACAGCCAATAACTACCACAAAATCAGAAGGAAGTGCTCCGGGCGTTGACAATGAAACAGAAACTTGGTTTTTGACCACAACAATTTGTTAATCTGGTATTGGGCCTCTTGTTGTGGCCAAAACAGAATAAATTCATCTTGAGAATGACAGATTCAAGTGAAAGGGACCGAGTAAGAGGGATTTTGAGCTATTGTTCTTGCAGAACAGTGGCCAGTACAATATGTGATGCTGGTGGATAAGTTTCCTGACTCGCTTATCCAAAATACCCCAAAGTGGCTCAATAATATTCAGATCTGGTGACTGTGCAGGCCATGACAGATGTTCAAATTCATTTTTATGTTCATCAGACCATTCTGTCACAAGTCTTTCTGTGTGTATTGGTGCATTATCATGCTGCACGCTGAAATGTCTCCCATTGTGTTGTGTGGATTGCAATATTTTATGTACAGCTGTGCTTTTGCTCTGCTAATTCCTGCTTCACACTCTGCTCTTGCTGGTGGAATTTAATATCAGTGAAGATTGGCCATCAGGCTACACACACTGTAAACAGGAATAAAAAAACCTCCAACACTATATTGGCCAGTGTTTTCAGTTTCATTGTCCAACCCCTGTCTCTCTAAAATCAAAACCGAATCCTATTGGTTGAAAGGAATGTTGATCCAGAAACACATACAATACTACTTGATAAGTTACCATAAGAAGCAAGTGGTCTTCCTCTTGCAGAGGCTTTTGTATTCATGGTTCAGCTGCCTGACTTTTAGATGTTGTATCTACAGTAGGTGTACTGTGTATGACACCTGAGTCATGGATCAATGAGAGCTTGTAATACTCATTGATTTTACCTTCAAAGAATGCAATTACCACAATACAAAAAAAAATGAAAATGTTCCTTGCTGACTTTAATGTGATGAATAGTATTATAACATAATGATAAACTGCCTGGATGTAGAGCACAAAAATATGTGCTTCCTAAGTGCGATGCTGTTTATCTTTTTCCTCTAGCGAGGAAAACCACCTCTCAACCGACTCACACTGAAGATTCCCACAGGAATCAGTCTGTTGAGTGCTGAACACTCACTGCAGAGAGGGGTCAGGGTGGGTCTCTTTATACGAGCCAGTTTCTTTCTCTCATAGCATCTATAAAACAATGACCAAATGCAACTGAATAAATGGAGATGTCAAACCCACAGTGAATCCTAAGAGAACTGCTTCAAAATATGTGTGGGCTGTGAGATCCTCAACTGGGCTGGACAGGGTGTAATCCGTCACCGTCCTCATCCAGCTATTGAGTCGGGAGAGGATTTAAGGTGCCATGGAGACTTGTGGGAAAAGCTCCTACGGCAGCCATTGTTTTTACAGCCCTGTCAGAGGAGTGAGTGCAGCTCTGCTGGTGTGAGCGACATGATGTGGTGGACGGGATTGAATCGGATTACTTCATGAGGTACAGCAGACCTCAAACAGAGTTATAGTCAGAGGAGTGTCATACATCCTCCAGAGACTTACAGATACTTCTAGCTATCAATAGAATGGCAATTTGGAAGATTTGTTTTAGATGCTAAACCTTCCCGCTAAGAATGATTGAGCGATGTGTTATGGTCCAGTAACTTGTTATTTAAATTGATGTTATTGTCAATGATTTGGTAAGTGTGTCGATTGACCTGTTGAGCAGGAAGATGTTGCCACTGCAGGTCAAGGCCTCCAGAAGAACCTTCTTCTCAGAGATGGCTGTAGAGGAGTGAAACTTCATCCAGATAAACTCCCACACGTCCTCATCCATCAGAGACACGCCTGTGCAGTACACAATGTCCCGCACGTTAGGTGGAATCCTGTGGGACAGAAGATTGAAATATCTGATTGAAGACACAAGCTGAATTCACATTTATGCTTGGATATTTTGAGGTAAACCTTCACAGCTAAATGCTAAAGTTAGCATTTAAATACAATTAACATTTAGAACTGTATTGATGGAGCCATAACATATAGATTTATTAAAAATCACAGGATGTCCTTCAGAAAAAAAGTAGGGGTTTAACCTTGGCATCCTTGCCAAATGTGCCCATTGGCCCCTTTCCATCATGGCCTCCTAATTATCCCCATACACTGATTGGCTTCATCACTGTCTCCTTTCCACCAGTAAGCTGGTGTGTGGTGGGCGTTCTGGCGCAATATGTCTGCCATCCAGGTGGATGCTGCACATAGGCGGTGGCCTTTCATGTAAAGTGCTTTGAGTACTCAGAAAAGTGCTATATAAATGTAACAAATTTTTATTTTAGTTTTATTATTAGCATATATGCACACCGAATGCTGTAGGTGATTAGCATTCCTCACTGTGATAAAGTTCGCTCATTAAACATTTACTGAGGGTTATTTTAGATTCACACGCCATTGGATCACATCATGTTCACACCTAATTCTTGTTTACATTTCCCTAAAGAGAGTTTATTTTTTTTTCACAGCAGAAGTTTCGAGAGTCCTCAGGGCTGTTCAAAGATAACAAGTCACAAGTCAACGTTTCACCTCCAGAAGAGTCAATGAAAAACAGCGTGAGTGTTGTTTCTTGCATGTTTTATTTTGTATGCTAATGTGCAAAGTTTAGATTTGTTTTTCTGTTTCTGTCTATTGTCTAAATGCCAATAAATAAAACCAAGCATATATGAAAATCGTTTTAAAAGTCATGACCCGAATGATCACTGCAGGCCTACCAAAGTTAGTCACAATGCAATATATGTAGTCTAGAGATATACTGGTCATTAGTATGACCTCTGAATGGACCAATAATATCATCTGGTTATAAATCTCAGAAAAGAATAACAGTCAACAGTAGAAGGACACGGAGAGAAAAGTATCTCTCAGGCTGTGAGACGATGCATGTAATATTCGTGCAGCAAGAAGAAATAATATTAAACCTCTGGAGGAGCTTTGGCGATACAGTGACTGAACTTTTGATTTGCTCAAACAAAGCGCAATAAAGACCTGCTGATTCTGGATGAGCCGTCGGAGCCTCTGGGAGTTTTCAATGTAGCGATATAGAGAACGGCACATTCAGTAAGTTATAAAATCATGTCACATCCAATTGGAGCGTATAGACTGAAATTTCCGTACTTGTGAAGGAGATGTCTTATTTATGATTGCCACTGACAGGAAGCCTATGCGAATTCAGAAACGCAGTTAAATAATAATATTTGTGCCGTCCCATGGGCTGCCATTATATCTGGAAAATTCATGAATTTTATAAGGTATTTTCAGAATAAAAAGGAACCCAAGCCATAAATCTTGTTTTTACTTCTGATATTAACTTGAATATGATGGTTTGACTTGCTCTAATATTTGGTTGTGTGGAGGTAACACATTTATAATAAAAGGCGGTAATGAAATTCTGCAGAGTCTATGTCTGTGAGAGGATTTTGTTTTTAAAAAAATGTACAAAATGTGAATTTCAAACAAAGACTAAAATTGCACTAAAAGTTTAGTCAGTCTGTGGTATCTTGTTTTTAATCAATAAAGCACACGAGGAGGTTTTGTCAGAGTTTGTCTTTGGCCAGTGATCTGAAGCCTTTCTTTGCAGCTCATAAACTCTGCTGGGTCATTCCTGTGACATTATCATCACCTAAACCATAAAAAGACATAAAGGTCAACACATTCCTCTTTTATGTGCTGCTTATCCCTGAATATCAAACTGAAGATCCAAACGTCTGCTGTCAGGTCAGATGAAAATGGCACAATTTGAAACTTAGCACAGTCAAGGCACATTCAATAAAATGCAAAAGTAGTCGAAATTATAATAGTATCAAAAGTATGCTAAAACTGATACCATAAAAACAGTCGAGAAGAAAGGCAGCAAGTCTAGCAGATGCATTTCAGAAATAATCTATTTCCATCTGTTGACTTGACAGTCGTACACCAGAAACTAAAGCATTTTAGGTGCCTTTCATGAGCTCTCACTGTCTGTCAGCAAATTAAACTAAGCTGTCCACATGATGATACGTCTATCAGGAGGGATTGTGTTCAGTACAGACTGTCAGTTCAGACACGAACAGAAACCTCACACTGGACTCCATGGGGTAATAATTACAGAGCCACTGTTAGAGCAATTGAGCCGTTTCAGGGCAAAAGAGTGGAAAATCTTTTCCTGACCAGGTCAAACACTGGCTGAATACAACTGTGTGTGCATTTCACATGTTGAAAGCAAGAATATAGGCAAAACAGCTTTTTAAACAGAGCAACTGCTGCTATCAGAAAAGCTCATGTCATATTAGATACCTCGATAAGTCATTAAAAGCACATTAAGTCAAGGTCAATATGTGACACATCACATGTGTAATAAAGCATCTGTGTGTGTATTTAAGGTCTGTCCATTTTAAGGCACAATTTTGAAGCCAGCAATATCCAATGTATTTGAGGTTGCTAATGTGTGATGAACAGTGTGTGTGTTGGTAGGCAGGCGGCCAACTGTTTGTCTCAAGGACGAAAAATGTTTTCCTAAAAACTTGGCAAACACAATATCTTGTGCATGGTGAAAACATTTCTTCAGACACACAAACACAATCCTGTTTATTCTCCATTATGGCCATTAGTGCCTGCCGGAAGGCTGGTGTGCCTGACTGTGTGAGACTGCATACATGCATGTGAACATTGCTGTGGGCAGCAGAGAAAACAAATCAGACTGTGTGTTTCCATGGACACTTGATAGAGCTCCTGCTGTATGGATGTTGGCAGGGCTGAACATGATAAAAAATAACCAACCATTGTTTGTTTGTTTTCACAATATTTGTATGATTTTAGCAATAAAATTGCAGTAATTATAACAAATCAGCTATGAATGCATATTATTAATGACACCTGGTCATATGAAATAATAAATAATCATGATATACTTTATAAAATTTCTGACAATCCACATAGCCTACCGTACATTTGCAGAGTGAGTAATTGAGTGAGTTAAGTTAAGTGAGTGATGAGATGTTTGAATGGTTTAGACAATGAATAAGCCCAATAACTGATTTGAAGATTGATTCTTTATACAGGAGCGAGGAGAAGCCACTCACGCAAATGTAAATTTGCTCACCTGTTCTTATTGCTGGAAATCCAGTCTGAAATGAGAGTCACAGCTTGGCGGTGACAGTGTTTGCTTCCAAAACTGCAGGCCAGCATGATCACCTCTCTCTGCAACTCTCTGAGGAGGAAAGAGGGATGGATACCAGCAGGGAAGAACAGCAGCAGGAAGTTAAAGATGGAAGGGGAACAATGAAAAATTAAACATGTCTACCGAGGTCATTCCCATCTCTGAGGTGGAAAATGTCTGATTCAAAATGTCGGTGTCCTTACTTAGACTACATAGAAGCTTATAAGTGTAATACATAATTCAATAAAGATGAAATTCAAGACTCACTCGGCCTGATAAGCCGTCTGCATGAAGGAGGCGTCAGGGGAAGTGTTTGGCCAGCCCAACTTGTGATACTTTGGTTCCACCTGTCTTAGAACATAGTCCTGAAGAACGAAACAAAAAGCAAAGGAAATAAAGCAAAACAATACAACAAAAATCAAATCAAAACAAGAAACATAATAAAACACAAGTAAAGCAAAACCAAACAGAAGTGCAAAACAAAATAAGAGATGGGTCAGTCGGTCGCCATGTTGATTTACATTTCCCTTGAAATAACATGTTGTTGGCCCACTGATACATGTAATTTGTAAATGTATAAAGCTCACTCCCGAATACATCCAGACCATTTATGAAAACTAAGCAGCAAAAAATGGGTCATTCAGAAATGTTTAAGATTTTATGAACTAGCTTTCAGCTTTAATATTAGACTTTACATACATAACTGTCTGGCCAAATAATTATGCACCGTTTGACTAACAGAAGCTGCTGAGTCCTCGTTAAAAGAGAATGAGAGAGAATGCTGATTCAAACTGAATATTTTGTCATGTTTATACACGGTGTGTGTGTGTGTGTGTGTGTTTTTGACTCTCCATACGGTTGAGGGAAATGTAACAGCAGGTGATGTCATGGCTAATTTAGCATGACTGCTCTCCTTCATGCCCTCTTACTGAGACAAGTGAATGATCACAATTAGACCCTGCTATGCTGCAATTCAACTCTGAACACACACACACACACACACACACACACACACACTTACATTTACACGGATAAAAGCACACACAATAAACACTGGGACAGCGTTAGAGGACATTGTTTTCCATATTGTGGCGGACCGTACTGATGATCAGGTGTGTTTGTCAAGCTGTTACTACAAACATTGAGTGATGTGTTATAATTTTGCCAACAGAGTAACCTCAGTTTGATAATTAGTGACGGAGCACACACACACACACACACTGGAATGAAGGTTTAGACACCTGGTCACATGATTTGAAGGCACTTGACTAATTTGCTCCAGCTGTTTCCTGTCTTGCATTACATGCTAAACATCTGCTCTGTCTCACAGTAAACACAATAAATGAGAGTTACAGAGAGAAGACGCTATTAAATTCATCACACACTCACTGCAGACACTAAAGGGTCGTCCATTACAGAGGAGGGGCAGAAATGACTCATGTGCACCGAGGGATTGTGGGTAGGCGTGTGAATGCTATTCTGAATAACAAAGTGATAAATGAATATGAAAGCAGGTGGACAAATAACAGAGAGACTGTCTCACACTGTCATATACAAGCATAGTGCACATTATACGCTGCATATTATTTATACAAAAAATGTACATTTCTCATTCTGATCAAATAACGTATCTAGAAGAAAAAGATCAAAATGACATCTGATATTGTCAAGTCAAGTGCATTGTGGGAAAAAGTATTGCATCTGGGAATCCCACACACATGCACACTATTGCACACTCCTCACAACATGCACACTGTTTACTGCAGAATTAGTATGATATGTTAGTACACTATTCTGAACATATAGTCAAACACAACCGATGGTGGAAATCTCTGTTTTGCACATCTATGAGATTCTAAAAGAGGCATTGTGCCTGTACTGAAGTGGAATAATGATCAGAGGAAGTCTTAAGTTCGATCTGTCGAGTCATCTGAGACGTGCTGCCAGATATCAGCTGTGTCTTTCTTATTGCACTAGTCAAGGTTAAAATCCAACAGACACCAAACGTATGTGAGATCAGACTCACGCTGAACAGGCTGTGGTCTTCAGTGCGGTCCAGGAGTTTGTCCAGCTGGTAAAGAGCTCGACTAGCAGCGTGCCAGGGCAGAAACTCGCTCTCCTGAGACAAATATGAGATCATCTGCAAGGGGACGTTTTGGGGCAAATATCCCGCTCTAGAGAGAAGAGAGAGAGTAGGAGGATAAGACACTAGCAGCACATTTGAAGCATATTTCCCCTTTGGTAGGCACATCGTTAACATTTGATTACAAACAGTTCATTTTGTTCATCATCATTCGTTTAGAAAACCTGCCAGGCATCGTGCTTCTGCGTGGGGAGTCATAATGTGCTGTAAGAAACACAAAAAAAAATCCTTCTCTTGTACGGCTACAGTCGTGTTTAATTTGCATACATCCATAAAACATAAGATCAGTTCTAAAAACACAGACATGAGCATTAACAGCACATATCCACTGTCATTTAGGAGAGCACATCAAATCCCAGATGTATTTCAGCAGGACCTTGGGCTCTTGTCAATTTATTTTTCTCCATTTATTTTTGTTTCACATTATCTGCCGACTTTCCCTTCAATTTTTTTAACCTTCACAACTTTCCCATGAAAGTGGAAACAAAGAAAAGTGGCTTATAGCCTTAGAGCAAAAACACTAGAGAGACAAGACTTCACAAATCTGAAAATGCATAAACCAGAACGCTTTAGCAACCATGACCCAAGCATCACACCAAGGAGTTTTACACAAGCGAGCGAGCACCTCGCAGAAAAAGTACAATCTAGTTGAGATCATATTTATGTTCCAGCTTAAAGCCCTTACTCTGACTCATGGCGGAAATTAATCTTCATTTCTCATAATTTCATGCAGGGCACATAAGCACTCCGAATCAGAGGTCAGGCGAAAGGAAGTGATCAGACTTGGAAACGGACTCATTAAATTCCAGAGGACAGATTCACCCAACACACATTTAATTGGGACATTAATCACAGTTACTCACGGACACCCACTGTTAACCAAAGAGGCTTTTAACATTTCCAGACAAACTGATTTGCAATAACATAAGCAGCAGACAATTGCGGATGTGAAGAATTTACAACCGTTTCAAGTAGCAAATCAAGTTAGCATATCAAGGTAAATTAATCTTGTTTAACTGCAAAGAATTTTAGCTTCTTTTTTAAGAGGTTTGTGACTAATTTAGATCAGGAATCTTCTTCCTTTAGTCTGTTATATATCACAGAAGGAAAGAGAGTCATCAAAATCTATATTTGAGTAACAGCTCTGCTCAGTGATTCAAAAACATCCAAAATATTCATAAAATGAGCCAAATCTAAGATGTTAAATTCAGGAATAGACATCCAGTGCAAACCCAAAGCTGAGTAGCTGTTAACCTCAGGCATGAATTAATTTCAACCGTTATGAGTGACACAATTTAGTTTTTACCATTTTTATTAACACATATGTGCATATCCCAAATCATAATAATAATAATAATAATAATAATAATAATCATTACATTTATATAGCACTTTTCTGGAAACTCAAAGCGCTTCACATAGAGGGGGGATCTCCTCAACCACTACCAATGTGCAGCATCCACCTGGATGATGCGACGGCAGCCATATTGCGCCAGAACGCTCACCACACACCAGCTTACTGGTGGAGAGGAGACAGTGATGAAGCCAATTGGTGTATATGGGGATGATTAGGAGGCCATGATGAACAGAGGCCACTGGGCAAATTTGGCCAGGATGCCGGGGTTACACCCCTACTTTTTCGAAAGACAGTCATTTGCAAGTTTGGAGGTACAGAATGATTTCCATACACCTTTGCATCCAAGCTGTTGTTATCAAGTATCAGATATTAAACTAGTCTAATGAGCAATAATCAATTAATCAGTCTATGATGCCAAAGCATTTGAAACATTCACTGTCTATTATTCTTTCACACTGATTACATGAAAATATTCAATGTGTATTGTCAGGATTGATGTGAACACAAGACATGTCACGACTGGAACAGGAGTCAGACAGGTGGCAAATGAAGTGTTTATTTACAGGTTGCAGATCCAGACAGAGATATGGCGAGTATGCAAGCTGACGATCAGGATCAGGATGGAACTTAGCTGAAGGATAACCAGTGTCTTTGTTTACAGATTCGGATGGAGTTACTGGGAACAGGCTGATGACCAGAGACTGGACTTCCGTGGAAAGGTTAGCAGGTGATCGACAGAACTCAAGTAGGTAGTGTGTAAGTTGCAGGTAAGTAGCATGGTCTGTAGTGTCATGTAGAGATGAGACAATGAGTGTGTTGAATATAAAGAGAGGTGAATTGATGAGGTACAGGTGATGATCAGGGCACTGTGAACAAGTGAGGGGAGTGAGTGAAGCTGGTGGAATCCTGACAATACTGTCCCACAAGGTGGTTCTCGACGCCTGAGACGAGGGACGAAGCGGGAGCGGGGCGATCAGGATGGTCGACGTGAAACTGAGTGAGATCTGGATCCAGGACATAATCGCGAGGGTCCCACGACCATTCCTCTGGACATAATCGTCCCAGTCAACCAGATATTCCAGCCAAGGATCTCATCGCCGGGAGTCCATGATGGTGCGGACTTAGTAGATAGGCTCTTGTTTGACTGGAAGACGAGGTGGTATGTCCTCTGGGAGCGTCAGTGTCACTGTCTACCCTGGATGTTTTGGATCTTGAGAGCCACTTCCATTATTACCACATTCTAATAGCATGCAACTGGAATAAGGCCATTTAGTTAATCCTTTCAATAAAAAAAAAACCTTTTACTTTTTATTTTTGAATTATTCATGGGAAATAGTCATTAAAAATAAAAGAACTCCCCATAAAAATATCATGAGGCACTGACGGTTTCCCATACTGTCCGCAAGCACAGTAATGAATGAGATGAACACTTTTTTAAAAAGTGAAAACACAGTCGCTGACATTGAAATAACCCGTGAGTAACATAACAGTCTCCTAAATAAATCATTGACTTTTAAATTTGGCTGTAATTGTTGCTCATTTAGATGAAGCTTGAGCAGAGCATTTTAAGCAGGCCTATTAAGAAGCGTCATCGCTCAGAGAAAATATTGTGCAAAGGAAAAGAATATGGAAAAGTAACCAAAATATTCTCCTGGCAATGTTGTTTAATTCTTTCTGACAGTTGTGTGATATGTGTTGTATGACAGAATTCAACAGGTGTTGCTGATGCTAATGTCGGGTTAGGAACAGATCAGCGTTTTTATGGAGGTTCAAAACGCTGTGTCAAGACAAGTAGCTGGTGATTACAGTAATGACTGTTAACAACAACTGTTAATTGCTTAAAAATCTAGATGAAAAGGAATATTTTTTTGCAGTCTGACACTGTTTTCATGATTCTTAAGCATATAATATTATAGTGTCAGGCATTTACTGTTTGTGTTCCTTGTGCTTTTATTTTTCAGTGTTCAATTTTTAGTTTGCCTTGTTTAGGTCCTGTTCTAGTTTTCCTTTGTAAGTCTCACCTTTGTTCGATTTGTATAAGCCATGTACTGCGTCCGAATCCGAATACTTATATATTATGCGAAAAATAGTATGCCAAAAGAGTATAGTACGTCTGAATTCAATCTGAATATAATCTTATAATAAATTATTATAGGCTGAAATATGACTGAAATATGAAACAAGACTGTTCAATCAAAAACATCTATTGTGAATATTTAAATAACTCTGTGCTTTAAAGTTATTTTAATGGAAGATGCAAATGCTATGCAATTAACCCTAATTATCATATTCATCCATTAATGATGCATTTTAAATATGATCTTCAGACTTCAACTAGTCTTCACTAACACTAGCTTTAATATAAAGTCTTTGTGAGTCAGTATTGATCTGTGTGAATGACTCCCATGAGCACCAGGGGCGTTTAATTAGGTAACATCCCTTGAGGCATTCAGTTTCCTCAGTCATATGAACACTCTTTATTATAACAATAATTTACAGAGAAATTAGACATTTTACCGACTATGATTAACGATGATGCTGTTTTTAATATGCAGGTTGGCATTTTCGCTTCTTGATAACATAAGCCAACAATAACCTCCTCCACAGATCTGAGCCTGAGGTTGAATGAGACATGCTGTTAACATCTGCTCATTTTATTAAAAGTAGCTGAAATCTAAAGCAGAGACAAAAAACAACAACATGTAGAAACCAAACTGAAATCAGGAATAAAATGATTTGCCTTAAGTCCTGTTAACTTTCAATTATCAAGCTCTTCAGTAAACAATTAAGGCTGAGGTGAATAAACAGGCTAAATGAACATGACGTACTACAACACAGGAGGAACAAGTTTCCTTTCTCGGCTCAATGTGCCGACAATAAACACAAGTGTCCCTGTGGGTCTGTCCTCAGTCGACTGAACTCTGGTGGTTAGGAAACATCTTTGGTCAAAAGCACAATTCTCCACATGCCTGTTAAAGCCCCGTCTATCTCAACATGAGCCGCACAGCGCCGGAACACAAGCCTGTCGTTTCAGTTTGAAGAACAGCGTTGCTAATGCTAGCAGAACAAAAAGCTTCCTCATTTAGTTTCGTGAAAGAATAAAATTGACTATCCAAAGTGAATGAATTTCACAATCTGTACAAAGCAGCACCTAAATTCAATGTCTAAGAAAGTCTCCACTCAAACAGGGATTTGGCTTGAGAAAGAATCAGTTGGTTTGTAGCATCAACAGTAGCAGCCAGTGACTGAATATTTCCTTCATTAAGCAGAATGAGCGAGTCTGTATCGAACAGAGAGGACCTTAGGGAGAGCAGTTGCTGAAAGGACTAATGGCAGCTTGCAGCCTGTGGCCCAATAAACCCTCTTCTCTACCGTTCTGTCTTTCCTCCTCTCATATGTGAGTTTCCAGCTAATGATGAAGCTCTGAATAATCAACACAATGAGACCAGAAGGGAAACAGAGGTTTTCCCTCGCTTTCTTACAGTATTATCCGTCATCACAGTAACGGCTCAGTGGTCTCACCGCAGGTCTCATCTTGATGAGCTAAAGGCTTTTTACTTCACTAACGCCTTGGGGCTAAAGGAGAAAAGATCAAGAGTACAGTACAGAACAAGAGCAGCATCTGTCAGTAATGACGGTCCAGCTGTAGTTCACTGGATCTGACTCTTCTTTCTATTGTGATGGACGGCTTTATCAAGATCCTTTCAGGGTGACCAGAAGAATATGAGTGTTAACTTTGAAATGTAGGTCTTGTTGTGATACATTTCTGTCTTTCTCTAAAATACATGAGCAGTTTATTGTCTGAAAGATCAAAATAAAAACACCATGAATTGTGAATTATATAATCAATAATTAAAGGGCACGTTTTAAATATTACATGGCAAGTATTCCATTCATTTGGATGGACACCCAGAAAATAATAAAAATAATAATCAAATATCTATCTCAAATGCCAATCAGCATCTGCTGCTGATTTGCTAATTATCTGGGACTGATTACTTAGGTCCACTACAACTGAATATAAAATGGAGATTTATCATAATACGGATTCCTGCGTCTGGTGGTGCAATTTTGGAAAGTGTTATGGATGCATAACAGATGATGTGAAATGGATGCTTTGTATAGAAAAAATATCTAGTATATAGAAACTATCTAGATGGTCCTTTTGTATCATCCAAAAAAATGTAACTGGCTAACCAGCAGAGCAACTGAGATGGATGTTAAAACCAGGAATGAACAAGTCTTCGAGTCTTGCAACACTTTCACTTTATTGTACAGATCTGTCAGTCGTGATGTAATCTTTTGAAATCCCTGGAAGATGAATATCCATTTGCACTGATTTGCTCTTGTAACTTTAGGTAAAAGCTACCCTGTCTGTTCTTTGATGCCTGTGATGCATAAAAATGAAGCTCGTTTTGGTAAAATTGGGTTTTAGAAATTCCCAGTGTGAAAAAGATCCAGGTCTAGTTTTGCAAAAGCAGGGGAGATTAAACCTTTTAAACAATAATTATTGAAATTTCATGGAATGACAAAATTTACGGTACATTTAGTTCGTACAATTTATTTATATGGGTTAATAAACACATTTTCACCATAGTGAGGTTTATAGAGATCTTGATAATTTTTGTAGACTTGGGCTCAATATGCCTTTATACAGCCTGGTTTTGCAGACAGGGCTTAGATTAAGCCAGGATTAAACCTTAGTTTAAGTAGTTTTTATATAAATGGGCCTTTATATAATATATATATATATATATATATATATATATATATATATATATATATATATAACAATGACAAAACAATGACACCAATATATTTTAAGATATGCCAGTGCAAGTTGCTTTCAGTTAAAGGGGTCATGAACTGGCTTTTAAAATTTTATTATATTGTTGTCTGAGGTCAACTTATGACGTTCGCTTGGTTTTGAAAACGTCCAATGTTGTAAAATGGCAACCGGAATGATTCGCCCATAAATGTTCGACCCAGAGTCCTTGTGTTTCACCATTCCTGTCAGGTCTAATTTAGACGGCACAGCACCGTTCTTTACTCTTAATCAGTCTGCAAATCCAGTCTTGTTTACAGGACAATTCTCAGTGAAATGACGCAAACAGACGGACGATGTTTTACCCTCATCAGCTGGAACGTCATTAAAAATAAAGTTTATCCATGCAGTCCTATTAGAATTTAGTCGTTTGTTGAGGCTGGTGTCAATAAAAGCTTTTATTGGACTAACAAGGACGTTTTCAGTTCTGACACTTACAGGATTTTCTTATAATATGATGACCTCTTAGATGTCAAAAGCTCAAGGAAAATTAGATTTTTCAGTTCATCACCCCAACAGCTCAAACATGCATTTTAGTCTGGGACTAGATTTAAGCCTTGTCTGTGAAACCAAGGGCAAGAGATTTTCCTCACCACTGTCACTTTGTGCTCTCTCACTGGTAGGTGAACGACCGCCTGAAATAATATGACAGTTACGGAGAGAATAAAAAGCAAGACACAATAAGCCTGAATAGTCTAAGGCTTCCTGCAGGGGTGTGAAGGCTATTAGATGGATCTCTAGAGTAGGTCTCAGACTCTCTCACCTCGCCAGGTTGAAGACGTCGTCAATCAGACCGGCCCTGTTGCCCACTGAGATGATCTGCCGTGAGAGAATAGCACAGACATTTACAAAACAGCAGGAAGTGATGAGGAGAATGAGGAAACAGAAGGGGGGAAGAAACACTTTGGATAAAACGTGAGGAGCCAGAAGGACTGACAGTTGTGGAAGAAAGGAATACCTTTGGGTTGCTCATCAGCTGTTGAATGAGAAGTCTCCAGTTGTGGAGGTCGTAGTTCACTCGGAAATATCCCGTTTGATTAATGTTGCCCAGCAACCACGTTTCGCCGCTCATGTGACCCACTCTGTGCCTCTCTATAAATACAGCAGTGAAAAAAAAGAAGTTGAATCAAAAATTGAATGACACTTCTGACACTGTAGCTCTTATAAGCAGAAACATGCGGCGCTAAATGACGCCTAGACGCTCACCGACAGATGTGGATATATTCAGATAACGGGAAGTTAACGAACAAAATGTATATTAAGCAATTAAACTGACTGCATTTCTAATGAAATATAAACCAGTCACTATAGTTCAGATGGACTGATGGATTCTACCTGACAGTGAACTTGCAAAGCTTTTTATGCATAGCACAATTATTATCTTTGAAATGAACTCAGACCTGCACAGAAATATACACGAAGAGACGATGCATTCAGCATTTAGTATGCAACATCTGTAATCTGTTGTGTTTGCCACGTTCTCAACCTGTAATATTCCAGCCAGACCTTGTGCTTTTTCATGGCTAACAAATGCACTGGTTAAGTGCTTTCGAGCGCTCATGGACTCAATGGATTTGCAGTGTATCGTGATCCAGGAAGCATCCAAGCGTCAGCGGCCAGATTTCAAGAGTCATGCGGTGAGTTAATGCATATAAATGAGGTCTCTATGTTACAGTGTGTGTTTGCTTCAAGAGTCATTGTCTCCGGCTCGGTGTCATCTGCATTGTTGCCCTGCTGCGGGCCGTTTTTCATGGAAGGTGAGCAGAAAATGGAGGCTGTTAAATGGTCTCATGATCAGGGGAAATTTCAGCTTTGAGCCACATGGATCGCTCGCAGAGAAAATTCAATTCCGGCTCTTGGAATTTGACTCGCTGTGCCTCCGTCTAAAGAAAATCCACCTCGTTTTCCCAAAGGAGAGGAATGTAATGGAATAAGATTGCATGTAATGATGGTGGACGTGTGGGTGCTGCACCAGTGTGGGAATCACAAAAGAATAGCATTGAAGTGTTTAGTAAAAAGATTTTTACATAAATACAGAGCTGAATTAGTCACATTTAATGAGGAAATCCAATTTAAGAAAAACTTTTTTTATTTGGTATCTTACTGGCTGATGGGGATTTCATGGGGCAAGGACATGAGACCATTTTTTTTTAGGTCTAACAAAGTCAGGGTGATATCAAACTGTCCCGACATCATCACAATAAAGGAACATCCTCATTAGAATAATGTGACCCATAAGCTAATAAAAGCACTTTGTATAATTTTACCTGTTTTATTGGCGACCCACATGATGGTCTCTGTTGATATGTGACTGGAGTTTCCCACTGCAAACGTCAGCGGTATCTGCCACTGAAAGCTGAGACAAAGAGAAATAACAGATGAAAAGCTTCTGTGTGATCTCAGGAGTTTAAATGTCACAGATACAAACTGTATGACGTGCATAATTTGACACATATGGACGCCCACGGTTTAATGGTATTGTGGGACACATCCGTGCAATATCCTCTCTGTCTCAACACTAGCAGGCAGAGTGACAAAATCAGGAGTATCAGATGATTGTGAAGCTCAAAGAAAACCCAGCAGTGTCAAAGCTCAAAGAAATCAGCTTTCATTCTTTCCCAGAGTGCTTTGCTTTCTCTCTCTATCTCACTCTCTGTCACACACACACAGCTGTGTATCACGCGGCACCCGATCAGTGTCATGTTCTGTGTCGCCACCTCATTTTGATGTCGATTCATCTGTGGCTCTAAAGCTTTCATGTACTATTGTGTGTGCTTGAACATGTCTAGGTATGAGAGCCTCTCCAGTCAAACTCTGGCTGACAGCTGTCACACTGGATGGCCGCCCCTCTTTCAGCCTGTCAAAATGTCAGACACACACGTGGACGAGTTCTGCTGTCTGCCAGCATAAATTACCCCAGACAGCAAGAGTGCAGCGTTGCTGACCCAAAGCAATAAATATTGTATCATTATGAGATCTAATGTAAGACTAAGTCATTTGTACACGCTACAAACAAATATTTTAACTTTATCTTCCTCAGCTTTTTTATGGGTTCACAGCATGTGCACTAGGATCACGGATCAACAACAGTCAATTCTGTGATGTAGGTTTAATGTTCTATTGCTGTTTAATGTGTTTTCAAATGTCACTAGAGAATGTGAAAAATGACCATATGTGACCCTGGACCACAAAAGCAGTCTTATGTGTCATTTTTTTTATTTTTTGAAATTTATACATCACACTGAAGCTGAATAAATAAGCTTTCCATTGATGTATGGTTTGTTAGGATGGGACAATATTTGGCGGAGATACAACTATTTGAAATCGGGAATCTGATGGTGCAAAAAAAAAAAAATCGGAATATTGAGAAAATCGCCTTTTAAAGGTTTCCATTTCTGTTGGCAATTGTGCTGCATCCACTTACAAGAATAAAATTTTGATATATTTAAGGTAGGAAATTTACTAAATATCTTCATGGATCATAATCTTTACTTAAGATGTGCATTTATAGCCACATTATACTTTATTCAGTGCAAATGACAGAACATCGCCTTAATGGTGTTTTCATTCATAATCATGAAAATCAAATCATTTTATAAAAGTTTAAGTGTTTAAACACCATCCCTTCCTTTGGATAGCATGTTAATATCTTAGCTATCTTAGCTCATTATGCCCCTACAGTAATTTCTAATGAAAAGCTCTTTTCATTGACTAGAACAACAGATCATGAAAAGCTGTCTTTTATCTTGATATTTCACATAGCAACACATAGCAACACCCTGGCAACCGTCACAGCAGCCTAGCACTGTGGCAGTGAACTTTACACAGCCACGCACCACATATTCCTCATAAATGTCAACATTTAGTCATTAAATATGAGAAGGATTAAATAACCGTCTGGATTATCCACGATGTCAGTCTTGGCTGTGGGGAGAGGGTTGGATCATTAAGGATTTGTGTTAGTTGGAAATCTGACAGGAATGGACAAAAATCCTTTTCAGGCTGCTGGTGACTCACCTTCTTCATTCAGGAAAGATGTTATTATGTTATTTAAAGGGATAGTTCACTTTGAAATGATTTTTTTATATATGTTTTAGCTTACCTCAAGGGCATCCAAGATGTCGGTGTCTTTGTTTCCAAAGTATTTTCAATTTTAATATTTTTAGGTCAAACTGTTCTTGTCTGTCAGTCATATAATGGAGGTCTATGGGGTCCACCAAAGAGCATGCACAGAGAAGTCCAAATTAAACATTATTTAATGACTCGTAAATGTAAGTACACATTGATGGCCTAAGACACGAAACGAGCAGTTTGTGTGAGAAAATTAACAGCATTTATATAGTTTTTACCTCTTGTAACCACAGCCACATCCAAGTGATCTGAGGGCGAGGGCGTTTCTATCTGCGCAAGCGGCGAAAGTGATATCTCGCGTGTGTACGTCACTCATTGTTTACACAGAGATTTCAGAAGTGTTACCCTTCAATGTGAAGATCTAAACATATTAGGAAAACGCAATGGAAGACGATTCCGATATATCAACAGACGACGTTGAATTTTTTTCGCAATCGCGCGAGAGATCACTTCCGACGCTTTACGGCACTTGCACAGACCGAAACACCCATGCCTTCAGATCACTTGGACGTGGCTGTGGTTACAAGAGGTAAAACGATAAATACTGTTTGTTTTCTCACACAAACCGCTCGTTTTGTGTCTTAGGCCATCAATGTGTACTTACATTTACGAGTCATTAAATCATGTTTAATTTGGACTTCTTTGTGCTTGCTCTTTGAGGTGGACCCCATATACCTCCATTATATGACTGACAACGGTTTGACCTAAAAATCTAAATTTAAAAATTTGAAAATGTCAAAATTGAAAATACTGCGGAAACAAAGACACCTACATCTTGGATGCCCTTGAGGTAAGCTAAAACATACCAAAAATGTATTTCAAAGTGAACTATCCCTTTAATGTGTCTTAATTATATCTGAACAAGCCTCAATGAGGGTTTTGTGAAAAGACAGACAGAAAGCTCTGTTACAAACAATATGGGAACTCTTTACTTAAAGCCTTTATGTATAATGCTGTAACCACCTGGGGTGCCCTTGAGAGCCACTCCACACAGACTATTATCACTCCCTCACAAGCTACATCTCACATAACTTACTGCCTGGACTCATCATCACTGATTGCATTCACAGGTGTCTCATTACCTTGTTAGTCTTAGCCTATTTAATTCACTCATGCACTAACTGTAGAGTTTTGTATGTTGTTGCACTGCATTTGCGAGTGTTTTCCCTGATTTCATGTCTCTTTGTTTTGGGATTTCTTGCCTGTTCTGTGGATTACTCTTGTGCCTCTGACCCTTTTTTCTTTGTTTGTTTGTTTGGACTGCCTACCTGTGTTTTGACCTATTGCCTGTATTTTGGATTACGTGTCTGGATTGCCCCTTCATTAAAGCTGCATTTGGACCTCCACCTTCATGTGACAAATGCATTATAGATGAATTCATAATGTACGCTGTAAAGCAGTGCATCTTTTCATAAATAACTTTAACCAAAGTTAAAATGCATTATAATATTGTCAGATTCCTTTTGGGTTGTTTGTCTGGTGTTTTAATGCATTATACTTTCTTTAGGCATAACTGTGGTCACATGCAATGCATTGTAAGGTGCATTACAAGGCATAATCAATGCATTTAAAATGCATTATAAAAAAGGTTTAATTAAAGTGTTACCAACAAGACGTTTAAAGGCAGGAGAAACAGCTGTAAACAGCAGACACGGGAGATGCTGGGATGAAAGTTTGTATCGCAGAGGATATAACTATAACACAGTTGAGAAGACATTATGCATAAGATGAGGCTACATGAAGCCTGCTGGGAAACAGTATTTAAACGCATATGTTTATAAGGAGACTATAGAGAGAGATTCTGTGGTAGATGAGCGCTGATAACAATACTTATGAATTTCAGAGATAATAGAAGCATCTGTGTGTGTGTGTGTGTTCAAATGAAATCACACAGATACATTTACATAAAACTGTGTTCATCAGTGGGACTGAACAAGAGAAGAAAGCAAAAGAAAATTAAAGTTCTCCACAGGCTGGTAATTTGGTGGCTCATGTTTGTTCATTTATGGAAGCGTCTGTTATCATCATCGTTATTTACATCCCTCAGGAACTTTGTGTTATGGCCCTGAGCTTTAGCTAAAGCACGAATGAAGAGTGTAGTCCCTGCAGCAGATGGGTAAAGTGTGTGAGAGATGAGACATGAGACATGTGGGCATCACTTAATGTTTATGGAACAAACCTGTGTTTGTTATGTACAGATGTAGATATTATTCACTTGCTCTTAATGGACAATATCATATAGGCTAAGTGAAAGCAACATGAGAGGCAGTGCATTACAGTGATTTTACCAAGAAGAGTTGTTATGCACACACGTGAAGGCAGAAGCAGAATTAAAAAAAGGTATGATTTTTGAAATAAATAATAATAGTGTACAATAAATATAATTTGTAATATTTAGGACTTTTGACATCATTGTATGACAATGCTATCTATGCAACATTTACTACCACAATGACTGGGTGCTACATGGTTGTTATAAGGTGTTCAACTTCAAAGTGGTTGCTATAGTTTTTTTTTGTTACAGTAATCATTAAAAAAACCTTCTATAGATTAATAATTCAGGCAAATTATAATTAGCAACATATGAGAGTGAAATGCCTGAGCCTTCAACACCATATCACCACTGTAAAAGAGTAACAGATGTGGTCTGGATGTTTCTACATTTAAAATTCACTGTGATTTACACACTATCCTCTCTCTGCTCATGGGTTTTTAAGTCTCACTGTCTCTCTGTCTCTCTGTGCGGGTGTGATGATAATATATCAGGCTCTCTTCAGGGACTGCTGGCTTTCGGTCCATAATGAGTCACTGGGGGCTTTTTGTGGCTCAACATGTGTGATTCTGTAAATCCTGAAAACACTTTTATCGAACACCAGCCGCACTGAAAAGAAGAAAAAATACAAGTGTCTTCAATTGAAACCTTCCATGGATGTCCACACAGACTGGGGTTTGTGTTGAGCTTGAGCTGTTGCTTTGAAGACTTGCTTTAGACTTTCAGTCAATCATCCAGCGACGGTTTGAAACCACTGAGACCATGAGGAACATGAGGATGTTTTGCGAGATGGGTTGGAGAAAGAATGTGATGTGCAGGGTATTGAGGAAAACTGTATATATATTTTTATGCACATATATTTTACCATTACACTTTTTTATGTACACCAAAGAAAATTAACCATTCGTTACTTTAATATTGTTGTTGCGGATTTTCCCTGCTATGAAAGGCACTTTAGATCTACAGTTTTTTCTATTTTATTCAGCTGATGCATGTTCACAGTTAATGTTTCATTGCATTTCTGATGTTTTGCTCTGTTAACTGGTTGTACTCATTCCAGTGATGATTGGATTACTGCACTGTGTAACGTTTCCAAGAGTAAACCAACTGTAAACTGCCTAGTATTTCTGTGTTTTCTGCACTCTGAATTATTATAGTGATACTGAGTTTTCGCTTATATTCTTCACTGTAACAGTGGTGCTTGACAGATTTATTGCCAGGTTCTTGATGATATTCTCTCATTGTGGGGATCTGATCGTCACAATGTGAACCTGAACCTCCAATAACAAGTTTTTACGCAGTTTCACACCAACCTCACATCCTCAGATCCACCTCGGCACTGTAAATAATTCACAGGAGTAACTGCATGTATCCAACACAGTCAAACCTGCAATGGGAAAATTAATTTATGCTTTCAAGCGCTAAAGTTCTCAATGACATCACCTCAGTACAAAATCTGTGCTGTGAAAATCCAATCAGAAGTCAGGTAAGATACAAGTGTAAAGGTGTTAATGAAGCAACGTTTCAGCTCCAGACTCCTTTGATGAGTTCAGATGAGGTGAAAGATAGCGTCCCCATTTCAGATATAAACTTCACTTTTCTAATATTTACAATTATGTCCACTTCTAATGAATTATTAAATTTTACTAACTAAATACTGAGGTTTTATAATTGTGAGGAAATTGGTGGCCTATTAGCTTACTGCTAATACGCTAAGCTGATGTAAACAATCAGATTAGCTGTAGCTATAAGCTTCAGTGACAATTTCAAAGAAACATTTAGCATTAAATACAAATTACAAGATCTATACAAAACCCTTACTTTACAAACACGCACAAAAAATGTTTAGTTATCTATTTTTATAATGCTAGCATGCTAGGCTGTAAATGCATTACTATAAACATGTTTTCATTCATTTTACAAACTGAAGGACAAGTCAAAATTAATTACTGTGGTAAAAATAAATAACAGATCAAAAGGCTATGATTTAAGCTGTTGTATTTAACTCAGAAATATTCCTTTAATGCACGTTTGAAAGAAGATGGATTAACATGTGTGTGGCTCTTTGCTAGCTGGATTGTGAAGCTTCTTCAAGAATATTAAAGTGTCTCATAAAAGCCAGCATGTGTTTCTAGTACAACGGTGTGGAAGAAATATCATTTTTCTGTAGAGTTTGGACATCTCCAGACAGACTCTGGACTCTCTATGAACTTTAATGAGATGGCAGTGGACATGAAACACACAGAAGGAGTGTGAAATACATTCAAACCGTGTCTGTTTTCTTTTTGCTGCAGTCAATGTTTCTGTCAGCACATTTTGCAAGGCTGGCTTAAAGCCTCAAGTGAGGTGTTACACTGCATTTACAAAGGTGCCAAATCCCCCTGCATTCTGGCAGGTTGTCTGGTACTCAGCTGAACACCCGCCTGAGGGGCAAAACAGGAAAGAGATGCCCCCTACTCGCAACACAGCTTTGCTATTGATTCCTGGAGCAGCTCTGCTTCTGAACGCCTCCGCAGAAGACCGCAGCGCTACGAAAACTCGTTCATGTAGGAGGAGACGTTCAAAGGAAGGGGGCTTTGTCTGCTCTGAACAAATGAACTTAGGAAAGAGGCGGACAAACACATTTATACCTGTATGTTTCATATTTATGACATTAGATGGCTTGTTATGGAGAGCTAGCCTAGCCGTGCAGAATGAAGATAATCTGATGCTTTTATAATTCCAGAAATTATGCTTTTATCTCACTAGTTATTATTATCTCCTATTTCTAACTAATAGATTCAACTTTTTACCACCTTCAGTCAAAAAGCAATCACAACAATATATCTAATAGATTACAAGCTCAAGAGTTTTTTTCTCATGTTCTGAAATTGCAGGTGTTTGACATTGATATTGTTCTCACCTGATTATCTAAATGGCAATACTGCTTAACAACCCTCACCACACACACTCAAAATGACAGTTCAGAATTTCAATTCTTTTCTTGAGTCAATTCTAACAGTGTCTGATCCAAAACAAAAGGAGGATTTCTAAAACAGATTAGAGGCGGTATTGAATTATTCATCTCACACTAACAAAGAATTAAACTAATTTATCTGCCAGTGACACATGCGTTTTTCTGTGGCAATGCAGACGGGTGCCAAAAGCATGTGGCGGTGACGGGTTTGCATGAATAATAATAATAAATGAAATGCTCAGTTAATAGCAGCTTGATAGCTTGTGTGAGTGAACATGATGTGAGATCTAATTCATACAAATACTCTTTACACTGTCCCACTAAAGAAGAAAAAACATCATATACAAGTCTAAGAAAGTTTACTGGTATTAGCTGACTGACTTGGTTTCGATTGAAAACCATCAAGCCATTGTAAACTGGATTAAGCTGTTTCTTTTAGTAGGAGTGATAAAAGGCAGACAAGATATGCTAAGCATTAAACTGTTCACATCCTTTGGATAAGTGAGGAAATCCTCTGGGTTTTCATGCTCTTGTGGGGCGCTAGGCTAGTCTTTATCTGTCTAGCTCTGCTTATAATCTCCATATGGTCTATTCTTCTGTATTTCTTCCAAAATATCTTAAAGTTTAATCTTATTTTGAATCAAAATGGTTTCTCTTCAGCTGCAGAACAACTGTAGGATCTTTTTCTCTCTGAGCTTGATCTGATCACAGGAAACTCTCAGAGCATCACTGTGTGGGATTTTTACATTATTCAGCATTGCAGTGTTCAGCAAACATACAGACCTCTGCGTATTATGGTGGATTTTCTGCACTAATTTATGAGCTCATGGAGAATCAGAGGTTAGTTGATTGATAGGGTTTCAATTTCATGGAACAACCGGTCGCATTCGACATATAGCCCATTCAACATATAGCACATTTTAGATATAGCACACTACCTTTTGTTGAACAGCTCAGGATTCTGGATCTTGGCGTCCGTGTCATAGACAAAGTGCTCCTGGGAGATGGTGACACTATTGTCAAGACTGTCGTTCTTGCTGATGGTGACGACAGGGTAGCCCATCTGCAGGGTCCAGCGGTCCATGACCTGCGTGATGTTGATATCCTTTCCCTCCTGCTGCATGGCCTGTGACACAAAATATAAAACATCAAGCATTAAAGGGTATGTAATGGTGAGTAGAACATGAAATAAATTGTGTCAGATAGTGTCAGTTGAGTGGAAGTGAGTTGTGTTGGTGGGCTTTAGGGTTTAGGGACCACCTAATGAAACATATTTATAAATTCATTCAGATTTTATGGCTTTAATGGGTTCTTATGCACATATTTGGGCTGATTCAGGTTTTGTTTGTCTTGCAAAACTAAAATGGATGTAAATGAAAACCCATCCAGGACTTTTAATTAAAAACTCTTAGTGAATAGAAAGGTGATTAAAATTCACACTGCACACGGAGGAACATTACAAGGCAATTTCCAGTTATCTAACCTCTCTATACAAGAGCAACGCCTGTAAATGAGTAAAAATAGATTTATAAGTCTGATTTCTTCAGAGGACGCTTCTCCTCCCTTTTATAGTAGTAAAACATGAAATTGGATCTCACGGCTCATTAATGTGGAAAGCTCATAATGTGACTAAGTTTTGTCCCTGTAGGAAATATACTGCATACACGTTTTCTACTTACTCTTTGAAAATGCTTATATAAATGACTCATATGAGTTGTTTTCAAAAACTCTGAACTTGGCAATGCTTTATGAACCTTTTCACCTTGGGCTGGTGTATCGATTTTGAAAACAATGATATGAAGAGTAGGTGACTGCAAACCATTGGACAAACCTTCAGAATAATTTATGTAAAAAGAACAAATATGTCTAGTCGCGTCTCCACCGCAGGAACTTTCCCCAGCAACTAGGAACTTTGGGGTGGTACTAGGTGTGTTTACACCACAGGAACCAGGGTCTAAATGGGTCTAAATCTCAGTTTATGAGATTTTCACGCACAACCATTTCTAGGGTTTACAAAGAATGGTGTGAAAAGGGAAAAACATCCAGTATGCAGCAGTCCTGTGGGCGAAAATGCCTTGTTGATGCTAGAGGTCAGAGGAGAATGGGCCGACTGATTCAAGCTGATAGAAGAGCAACTTTGACTGAAATTACCACTTGTTACAACCGAGGTATGCAGCAAAGCATTTGTGAAGCCACAACACACACAACCTTGAGGCGGATGGGCTAAAACAGCAGAAGACCCCACCGGGTACCACTTATTTCCACTATTTGCAAGAGCTCACCAAATTTGGACAGTTGAATACTGGAAAAATGTTGCCTGGTCTGATGAGTCTCGAGTCAGAATTTGGCGTAAACAGAATGAGAACATGGATCCATCATTGTTACCATTGTGTGTGGTGCCCTTAGTGTCATTTGGACATCGTTTAAATGCCACAGCCTACCTGAGCATGGTTTCTGACCATGTCCATGGGCCATCATTTCAAAGGAATGCTTTCAGCACCTTGTTGAATCAGTGCCATGTAGAATTAAGGCAGTTCTGAAGGCGAAAGGGGGTCAAACACCGTATTAGTACGGTGTTCCTAATTGTCTTTTAGGTGTGTGTATGTGTAGCCCTCCAATCTTACTCCAATCGTAAATCATTTGAATGTGCTCCTCTAGAACTTTGTTCATAAAACATCATATTTAATTCAGAACAGAAATTGACTATTTTACTTAGTGTCTGTGTGTGTTGTGTATTTTTAAGGTTATTAGAGTATCATGTTTCTAGCAACATCATAACATAAAATTCTACTGGAATCAATTGTGAGCCAAGCCTTCTATGGGTTTCATATAAAGAGTATTGTGTATCAATTGAGGTTTCTTTTCATTCCTGATGCAGCTGCGTCTGTGTAAGCAGTAGACTAGGTTTGGATTAGAGAGAATGTCATTGGCTCTACAGATATTTCCAATTATTTCCATTCACGGGATCCTAAATAGTTGCAGCATTTCTTATTTACTGGAGCCAATCAGTAATTATTTACAAAATTGGTTGTAACCATTGGAGAGCTACAGTGTTTCTGCAGCAGCACTGAGTCGGTGTGTTGTGGAGACCCATGGGACTGGGAGAGAAATGTGGCGGCAGAAACAAAGTGCTCTGTCAGGCTCTCTTGCATTCTGCAAACTTCAGCTTGACTAGATCCATCGAGCATGTAAACTTCCCTTCTCTAGTGTAACTGGGACACTCTTCCTAATACCAATTGATTATGACCATTGTGAGTATTAGTTATGAGACTAACTAAGCTTGTATGATATTACTTTAATTGATTAGTGTCTAGGATATTATATAGAATATGTTAAAGATGATTTTGTTTTTTGGATATACAAGAATATACTTTCATGCTTGATTGTCCAAAAAAAAACACACATTAATTTTATGTATTCTATGTCAAAACAGTGTCTCTTTGACATAGCGATAACACTGTCTACTCTAATGCAGCTCAACCAGGCCTTGCACCTTTTTATCACATATTCCGTGGGCGTGGATTATTTAAATACGTAACATTGTGACTTCACAAGATCCAGAAAAAAGCGCTGTAAACGAGTTCTTGTAAAAAGATTTATTGTAAAGTGATTTCTGTCAAATAAAATATCTCCCTTTCGAGTGGTCTTTGAGCTTTGTAACCTTGCTGCACTTTTTTATGCTCAAATAGTTCCACACTGACCAAGTTGAAAAAGTGAAAAAGCATAATAGGACCCCTTTAAGGGAAACCGTACAACTTTTCACAACTGTCGATGCCACACATTTTGTTTACCATGTGAAGAAGAGGCTCTGCAGGGGCTGATGACGGCAGCTGATGTTCATACATTATGAATCATTTTCTTTAGGATTCTTTCAGGAAGCTACTGTACCTTTGCCCTGGTGAAAATAATTAAAGGAAGTGTAGGCAGGTCCGGCGATGTGTCGTGAGCTTGACAAAGGGCTTTGTGGGCGCTTAGCACTGCCAGATTATTGCCGCAAATTGGATTTCATGAATAGCTAATGAACACAGCGCATATCAGTATTCATTAGATGATGGGCTGTCACGGACTGTTAATGTAGCTAAATTCGTCAGTGCCTCACAAACACAGTCACTGAGAGGATACGAGGGTCCTGGTGACATGAATTCACCTTTAAATCCTTTCTGTTGGGAAAGAGAAAATGAAGAAGCGGGCGCCCATCAGCCGACACTTGGGAGAGTGATGTGAATGACAAAACGCTTCAACGATACTGATAGCTGCTAAATGTCCTGCTGTTCCATTACAAACTATAATAACTTTGAGATTACGCTTGAAAGTAATCTCATTAAAGTCATGACACTTTGTAAGATGAGCGCTGAGAGGACTTGCTGAGACTCGTTTGACTTTAAAAGTTCATCTCGGTGCTGATGACTTGAACCCAACGCTCAACTTCACTGAGATTATAGATGACCAGCAGTTTCACTCACTTTTTCTTAGTGTATTAAGCTTTTATACTGTATGCCCTCATCTATATACCTGTATGCCCTTTCTTAAAAAAGCTTAAATCTTACATATTATTAGATGGATAAGGTTAATAAATTTTGTTATCTTAGCAATTATATCCCTTTCATCAATTCGATTACGAATTACTTGATACCTCCTCCGTCCATCCAGGTAAATGAGGCGTATGGAAATGGCACATATAGAACAAAATTGCAATAGTACTAGCACTTTTGCATGTGTGAGGCTATAATAAAGAAACAATCATTCAAAAAAAAAAAAAATGTTTTTAGGTTTTATTTTGATTTGTTGTATAAGCTTTGCTTTAGCATTAGCATTGCAACTTTAGTTGTCCTGGTAACCAAACTGAAGGGATTATGGGAAATGAAGTTTGTCACTATGGTTGCTAAACCTTCTGTGGTTCTAGAAAATATGGATAAATTGAAGCAGCGAATCTCAGGAAACATACCTGTCAGTGTATTTGTCAGGAGGAGGGCAGTCTTGACAAAACCCAATAAATGTATTTTTGAGACCTGAGTGAATTTTCACCTAAATTAGTGAATTTTCTTTCAACGGTGGATCATTTGTAGATTTTCCTTGGGTTATTCTTGGCTACACCTGAGCTGAAGGGCAAATGCTCATGTTTAATCTGAGAGACTCATCAGGCTTGTCAGCAATTATGTGACACTTCACTAATCTGGTCTGATAAGATTCGAGTGATTTATAAGTTAATTAAAACCACCAGAATCAGCAAGACTTCATAATCAGTATCTGTGAACATTTGCATTTAGCAAGTTACAGTGATCAGATTCCAGGATCAATATGTGACCCTCCCCTGTGGAAAACTTTTCATATTCATAACCTCAAGTTTAAAAGCAAGAATATCAAACACAACCCTGCCTGTGCATCAAACTCCTTCCAATGAGGCATTTCCATAAAACCTTTATGTGTTGATGTGAGTAGGTGGTGTATTGGCATGAATTGTGAGCCACTGATGATGTGCAGTTATATAATGGCCTCTGACCTACATGTCTATGCAACGCATGAATCTCTTAACACCTGCCTGCAGGAGATGCACTGGGCAAATTTAAGTAGGTTGAACACATACAATTTGACTCGTCAGCTCGCTGCTCACTGACCCCATCGATGATTCCCACTCGTGGATGGAGGTCTCACACCCAGAAGATGCTTAAGATCTTACCTCTGAGAATTTGTCCCACAAGTCATCTCGCGCCGCGTTCCCATACATGTGCGTCATCAAGTAATCCTGCAAACAGACAGAGACGGAGATCAATATTGGAAGAGAAATAAATTGGACTTGGACAGGAACGGTGAACTTGGGAAACGAAATAAGCCAAAACAATAACATTACTAATCCGCTCAATTCAAGCTGAACATATGCAAATTAGCAGCAGATGTTTGGGTGTGATTGGCTGTCAGTTCAAGGAAGTACCATAAGGAGGCCAATTAGAGGCTGATTATGTTGTTCAAGTCGATGCTGCATCAGCATGTCACAAAATGAGAAAAATACAAATCAGAAACACAATTTTACAAGAGTTTCTTTCAAGACATTGCTAACGTTATCCATATTAAAATAAACACCATGGATTATGACAAAAAATAATGGGGGAAATCATTAATTCGTTCAGTGACTACAAACTTAAATACTCTTACAAAGAAGTACTATGATGATTTCTGATAATCATCTCACAACAAACCGAAAAATGTATTTACATGATACCCATGTACAACTTGCTATTACCTAAATTTAGTAAACATGCTACTTTTTAAGTGAACATTTATAAATATGTAATACGTTAAAAGTGAGCTTTGTGAAGAAAATAAACATCTCACCTTAAGTCAGCAAAGTAAATACAAGTACTTTAACATCAATCACAGACAAATGTACAAAGTGGATGTCTGTAATGTTGAATATTACTGAAGCTAAGACACTGGTGGGTGTTCATTTCACTGCTAAAAGACTTCAATATGTTAAACAGAGGCAGTGCTTGTGTGAAACGCTACATTATCGGTGTGTCTGTTCTGCCCCGCAGTCTCAGTCATACAGGTGGTGGGCGACATGAAGAAGGACTCTGATCCGCGAGAGCACATTTACATTCATCTGATAAGAACATGTGGTGGGAAGCCTTTTCCCTGCTGTACGAGATTCATCGATAACTCTCAAGTGACCGTGAGCGATAAACCCGTCAACTGTAATCCTCTTCCTGTTGCTTGAGTCAAGAGAACATGCTGACATAAAATAGCATGTTCTCTGTTAATGGGGTATGTGACATACAATGGGCTGATTTCGAACTTCCTTTATACAGGTTTAAAGGGATAATTTTCTCATTTTCCACACTTCTGTGGAATACAGTCTTGTGTTCTGAAGTCATCTGAGAGCTTTATAAAATGAAAAGACCAAAACAAGTCAGATTTACACGGTTAAATGCCAGCACTTAATATTATTAAATGCACTCAATACTATTGGATTTTGGGTGTATTGTGATGCACCAGATTTGAAAGACTCAATGAGATCTTAGTGAAGATTTAATGTGGATAATCAAAGACTATGGATTTGGAATGACTTGAGCGTAAGCAGATTTTATTTTAGGGTGAACTTTTCCTTTAATAAGGGAATTATTTTAGATTTTGTTTTATGAATCAAATCAAAGGGGGCACTTGTTGAAATGTAGACAGGCGTCATGCTGAGAGGTTTGAGCAAATTGCATTGGGATCCTGAAAGCGTGACCCAGTCCAGCTGGCCTCCATCACTCTACATGCTCTGCTGAGCTCTCAGAGAGGCTGGGATTTAAATCTGGAGCAGAACCAGATTCATGTTACCATCCTGATGAATCTGTTTTAAACCAATGCAATTCCCCTCTCTCTCTCTCTCTCTCTCTCTCTCTCTCTCTCTCTCTCTCTCTCTCTCTCTGTGTGTCCGTGGGCATCTGATGAGTGTGTGAGCATCTGAGCGAGTTGCAGCGTGTTTGAGTGACGGACAATTTATACTTCACGTCAAGCTACCGTCTTGAGCATTTACTTCTGCGTTCAGGTCTTGGTTGCTCTGCACTACTGCTCCGAAACGCTAGTTGGCGGTGGAGCGTTTTAATGTTCCACTGTGTGTAGATTCCTCGCGGCTAGGTTACTACAAGCAATGGCGACTGAAAGAGAGCGGATCATGTTGGAGTTGGAGCTTTTTGACGTGGAAAAACAGTCAATTTTAGTGAAATTACTAAAACTAAAAGGCAGAAATGAGAGAAGACGTCGGAGGAAATGGTACGTGTGGAAATCATTGTACATTTATTTTTGGGGGGGTTTGGATACCTTAACATTATCTTTTCCATGGCATCCATAAATATTGAATCTTTTATCATCACACAACAAAGAGACTTGCTGTGTTTAATTATTTACAACTTAAAAAGGCAGACATTATTAGGCTTCAAGAGACTCATTCTGACTTACAGAATCAGACACAGTGGAATTGTGGTTGGAAGGGAAATATTTTAATAAGCCACGGGACTAATCTTAGTGCTGGTGTTGCTATACTATTTTTCTTTGTGTGTCTTTAATCAACCAGTTATGTTTGAGATAATACCTGGTCAATTTTTAAGAGCAGATATTATGGTTGGACAAATAGGGTTTTCTATTTTTAATGTATATGCTCCAAATGTTGGACTGTACTGTAAACCCTGATTTAGATAGGAATCACGATGAACCTCATTCAAGTTCTGCAGAAGCTTTAAAAAATGTTATTGGTTATCATGATCTTGTTGATATATGGAGATAGATACCTGGTTAAAAGATGAACTCAAATTCTTTGTCTGGAGCGAGACTTGACCAATTTTACATTGCCAGGAGTAATAGTGGAAGGTTTAATATTAGCTTAATAGTACCATCTTTTCTATCTGACCATCATTATGTCTCCGTAGCTGTTTCTGTCTTCTAAAACTCACAAATCACACTGGCTCTTTAACAACAGTTTATCACTCTTTTATTCACTCTTTTGGCCTTTTTTTGGCAATCTTGGAGAGATGTAGTTTTCCTTTATTAAGTCGGTGGGACATAGGCAAATTGCATATTGAGTTGTTTTGCCAACAATACACTGCCCATAACACACCAGAACTCTCAAAGAAAAAAAATGAGATCTCTTGAAGACATTCTGTAACCATGGTGACTCTGCTGATTCCATTGAGATGAATAAATTCCTTCTAATGACTTTGTTGGAGGAGCAAGGAAAAGCAGCCCTCTTAAGGACCAGACATTCCCAATTAAATGAATTCATTGAATTTAAATGGACCATAATAATTAAATGGACACTCCCTCTGCATTCTTCTTTGGGCTGGAAAATAACTCAAGAGAACAGTGGTGTGACAACTGATCAGCAGAACATCCACACTCATGCACTGTCCTTTAATGAGGATCTCTGCTGTGCTGAACCATGAGACAGATCATCAGCAGAACAACTTTTATGTGATCTACCACAGTTATCAGAGGAATATCTTTTTGTGATTGTGTAAAGATGCTGAAAATTATATTTGACCATTGTCACTGCATTCGGCAGGTATAAATTGGCTGCTGAATGAGATTTTTGCAGTATGAAATACCCACTCTGCTCATTTGCATACATTTGCATAGCAGCGAGGGACCACCCAGAGCCATTTTATGTTTGTGATGACATTTTCTAGTCTGCTTGGCCTATAAGTGTGTATTTTAATGAGCGTGTTGCTACCCACCACAGTTAAATGACCAAAACACTCCTAGGAAAGAGAGAAAAATACACATATAGCGTTCCTCATGCATGAGAGTTTACTAGCACTAACCGTCTATCAATTACAGAGACTGGTGTTGCTACGAGCTAAGCTAATGTGACACTGTAATGATAATAAACATCACAGACAAATAATGGGAATTTTTCATTTGGAGACAATATTTGATAAATGTATTACTCCATCCTACATCTCGTGAATGTCACAAAGCACTCTGGGGCTTTTTTTAGCCAAACTACGCTATTTTAGTAGCGGGCATAATATTGCTCTACCTTTCAGAAAAACATGTACTGTAATTATGTTGTACATGTGATGCCGAAATATCCGTCTAGTTATACAGCTAGGATCATATCTAAAGACACACTTCATAACTCAACAGATTCCAGTGGGATGGTTGTGTGAGTAATTAACTTAATGTAATTAGCAAAGGCTAGTTACTCTTCTGACACTCTTCAGGACAGAATAACATCCTGAACATCCCTTCATCAGATATTATAAACACATTCAGTTATGGTTCCTCATTCTGCAAAGGGAGACAAAAGATTGATCTCTTTCGATATGTAAATCCCCCCCGAGCTAAAACACAAGTTTTCTGTGAGAGCCTTTACCATAACAGTCAAAGCAGATCATAAATAATTCATTACTCATCCATCTAAATGAGTTCCCTTAAAAGTAATACAAGAAGAAATATGTCTACAATTTTCCTGAATATGAAAGTAATTTTGAGGCAATGGGGGTAGATTGTTGTCTGAGGTGTTGAGTTTACCTGTTCTTCCCATCAATCATACAGAGACAGAGAGACTGAAAGTTCCCATAAGAGAGAGAGACAGAAACCAGCAATAATGAGGCGGAACAGCCACGCCAGAAAGGGCTGCTGTGAGAAGAAGAGGAAGATGGGAAAAATGGAATTTCTTTGTGTTCAAGAATGTTGGGAAATTGAATCGAGAAGTATCTGTCTATTTCATCTGTGTTCAGAAAGAATTATTAGACCACAATATCCGCAGGGATCTGATGGACTGTCATTCTCCAAGTCAGGATCCCGTTGAGAGCGAAAAACAGGACCATGAAGCTCTGAATCCAGGGAAGAAGCTTCCCGCTGTTCCAAATCACATCCAGAGGGTGAAGATGGACTGTAACATGCGGAAGTTTATTTCTCCAGGGCAGTAGTGCACTTGTCCTCTGCTATTCACAGGTCAAGCATTTCACATTTCCAGCCGGAATGAATATTTCCTACATCCCATAATATGATCCATCTGAAAGTGCCTTTAAAAGCGATGGGCAGTGTGTGTAAATGAGACGGGAACGCTTCATCACTCCAGCAGCTGCATGAGCCTGAGAACCATTCAGACTTCATTTATGACTCCCACTTTTCTTTTATAAGAGACATTCATCCGCCCGCCTCACCAGCCCATCCACCATTTACCAATAAAGACCTCCTCATCCTCACAGTCAAAGAGAGAGAGAGAGAGAGATTTTTATTTTAAAAAATAAATCATTAAAAATGTATTCAATATTATCAATTCCAAAATAATCCTACACTACCTACACTAAAAAAGAGAAAAAGATAAAACCCCTTCCATCACAGCACAGACAATATTTTTGTAGCACCACTGCATTTCAAAAGATGTCATATCATTAATTTATTTATAATATAACAACAAATTTAAATAGACACATAATCTCTTGGCCAAGTCTATTCTCTTTTCTATTTTTTCTCTAATATAGATTCCAAGCTTTGCTTGACCAATTACAAAGTTGATCATCTGCCATTTTACTCTTTGCTTTTGGCTATAACCGGCCCCAAAAATAAAAGCATTATGCGTGAACATTCCTCCAAATTTTGAAAACACTTGAATCAATAAAACAAAAAGTGATTTAAGTCTTACACACACTCTAAAAAATGCTGGGTTGTTTAACACAATGTTGGGTCAAATATGGACAAACTCAAACATTGGGTTAAAAATTTTATTTAAAAATGTAACCCAATGGCTGGGTTTGTCCATATTTGACCCAAAATTGTGTTAAAACAACCCAGCATTTTAGAGTGCATTCTAAAAAACAATGAAAAACTTTTTCTCTTAAACCACAAAACACACACTTATTAACACTTAATAACATGTTTATGTGTAGCAAAGGACCTGACATATCCTTCAAGTCAGGAGTAATTCTAATTTTCGTAACATGATCTTTTTTTTTTTATCAGGAACCTCCAAACCCTTCCCAAAATCTTGTAAGTAGTGTAATTTCCCGATCCGTGAGCTTCTTCCTCCACTTTTCTACTATTGTTCCTGTGTGGCGAATTTACCTTTGCCCGCAGCATCAGAGCTACTGCTGAAACATCGAGTCAACCACACAGACAATTTGCCTCAGCTTTACAATTCAAGAGGCACACAACTTCTGAGTGAGGCCTGGTTCTTCATCTGTTACATCTAGACAAGCCCCTTTAATCCAAAAGCCAAAATAAAGAGTCCGAATTGTCCATTCTCTTGAGAGTGAAGAGTCTCCACATTTTAAAAAAAGTCCACAATAAAAAGGAGATATGTCATTCAGGTTCAACTTCCTGTAATCCATAAAAAGGAGGCCAGCATTTACCAAAGTAGAATGACTTTGGTCAAGTTCTTTCACACCAGATCATCAGGACCTGTTAAAAATCTCTGAATGAATTGTAAATGAAATGTTGCCATTCTGCTTGGCAAATGGACCAAACCCTGTCCACCTTCATTCTTAGGTAGAAACAATACACTTTGTGGAATCTAGTGCAATCCACGCATAACAGTTTATGAGTATAGAAGCTACCAAATTGTTCACTATCAACAATCTTCCCCTAAAAGGTAATTTTAGTTTCATTTTCTACATTGCCTGCACCTGTCATTGTGCCACGATCGTGTTCCCCTACACTCTTTACAGCTTCCTTCTCCTCAGTTTCACTTCTCCTACTTTCCACATGCATGCCTTCCTCAACAGAAGCAGCATTGATCCCGGATTCAGAAATCCCACCCATCTTTTCATTATCTACAGTTTCAGCTTCATTAACTTTCTCAGCACATGCACCTCTAATGTGTCAATCTTGCGGTGAAATCATTCATTTATTTATAGCGGCGAAATTCCTGCCAACCAATACCTAGCCTATTATACATATTTTTCAAATATGCCCATCATGTCATATGTCATGTATGGTCCCGACTCCCATTTATGGGATGTTTATTACTGTGCCCCTTAGAATACAGTCCCACATATGGGATTTAGAAAGTTCAGTGACGTGACATAGTTTCCAGATTCAAACCGTGCTTTCACACGTTGGTTGGCGCTGAGCCAGAGACAGACAAGCTCAGTCATATATCACAACTATGCAGTGTTTTCAACCTCATAATGTTTATTTTAGGTTTCAGACATATAAATGCACATAAGCACTAGTAAAACAATAGATTTGGAGTTTGTAAAATACACACTGATGTCTGTGGAAGCAGCACTAGCAATCTATTCAAATTGAATTTGCCGGCGGGTGTTATTCATATCAGACAAACACGTCACGTTATAGATCAAGATTATTTATAAAAGGTTTTAGACGACCAAACACAATCACTTACACATTTTTGAGAAAAGGAATATCAGATGATGACATGGTGAGCAAGTTTGTGAATATTTTGAATAAAAAATGAAAAGGGAAATAAAAGCGATACATATACAGTAGGTTGTGGCTGCGGTGTGTCAAGTGACAAATATGTCCAACAAAAGCAAACACAGTAAATACATTTATAGCCACTCCAAGACATGTGAACACGTGTGCATTAGATACATAAGTCTACAGGTCAGATGTGTGTTTGTGCTGTGATATAAAGCGTGTATGTGCAGCTGTTACATCTGTAAATGACGCATTAAATCTGCTCTGCAGAAAACATGACCTGATTGTGCTTTCAACAACTAAGAGCAACAATAAACCACAACGTCAAAAATAACCCAGAAAAAGCTCTGAAACTGACAGCATCTCAGTCATAAAGAAATTAATTGAGAAGTTACTGATGTTTTGAAAAGTGATTTTTTTTTTTTTTGGATTTAGAAGGTGAGAAATCTGAATGTGAGTCTTACACCTCACCCACATGTCAGGAAAAGGGTTTTACATTTAACACTCATTTGTTTACAGATTTACTCTCACTGGATTCAAACCTGCAGCCTGTTTGCTCACGGCCAAATCCTTTAACACATTTCAGGATGTAATTTCATGTAGAAGCCAAATGGTGTCCAAAACAACAATGAAACTGTCTAATACATCAAGAGATGTTCACTCCTGAGGGGCCTGAACTGGAAGACGGGATGCAGGAAGAGCTTTACAGAAGGTGACCATGTGGAGGTTCACCAACATCGACACAATACCAGACACTTGTGCTTTAACAACAATTGATGTGTTTCATCAGATCTTGTCCAAGACATGACTGTAAACAGCTTTAACACAGAGAAACTTCTGATTGGGACTTTTTCAAATATGAAATTAATTTCTGTCTCATTATGTTTAATCTCTTGCCTGATTGTGTCACTTTTACCTCAATATTGATAGAAGCGCGTGACATAAAATAAAAACAAGCTGTTGTAGCTCTAAAGATAAGAAGAGCATGTAAACTGACATGGTTGAATAATCTCACAAACACTTTTAGCAGTCATTTTCATGGACTTTTAGTTTGCTTCTCTTGATTTTCTGTTGTCTCTGTTCCTGCTATCATTAGTTACTATGCTAACTGATGTGATCATTACACCTTTAGTTTGTTATCTGCTTATATTTAAGTTCCTCATTTCCCTGCATTGCAGAGACGGTTATTATTTGTGTTTGAGCTTGGGCTAGACACGATGTGACGTTGCCATTGTCTCTTTGAATTTCCTTTGATTGTTTTGCTTACTAAATACTTTTATTTTGGAAATTCAGAATCTCCTTCATTTGAACTGACACTTACATTGAGTGCTTTCTGGAATAGCGTCTGTCCCATGACGTTCGCCAGCATCCGGATCAGAGCGGCTCCCTGTGGACACACAGTAAACACACGTTCAACGGACTGCTTTTTTACACGTGCATACAAAACCCAACAAAATATACATCTTTTTCAGCGTTTTGAACAGCATATCTGACATGCCATAGATTACACAGAAAATAATTTTTAAAATGTTCAAAATTTACATGAATCCACTTATTATGGAAGTCAATGGGGCAAGTTTAAACTCCGAAATGTGTTATCTGAACAGGAAAGTTGTCATAATGATAATTCTAGTGGCGTGACTGTTCAAAGAGGATGAGCTTCTGGTTATGCAGAAAATGTTTAACATTATATAAAAACAGTTCAGTTATTATGGAACTGTTCAATTTCTAGCAGGTCTGGTTCATCTAAACAAGGACTCCATGACACTCATCCTGCTTTTTTCTGCTGTTTTATGAGTCTGTCTCTTTTTTGATTTGAGTGGCATTGACATGCTCATTTGACAGCATCTAATTCCCATCCCTTCCACAATCTGTGTGATGAGTGTCACTTCCTGTTAGCGCTGGGGACTGGATGTTGTGGGATATCAGAGTATATAGAGTGCGGGGAGGAAGTGATGAGGGACGTTCGGGTGTCAGTGTGACTGACAGAGTTCATAACCCAACAGAACCTGTGGGGAAACAGGGGGAGGGGCTTGAGGAAGAGCAAGAGCCAATCACAAACCAGCCATGAGCTGATTGACAGCTGGAGGGAGAATTGACACAGAATATGAAATCTTCAGTGGATGGAAGATTCTGTCTGCGTCTGAACTCTGATAGAGGACAAAGATATTTCTGTCCTGCTCTTTGTGTCTTTAATGGCTTTCAGATGAGAGGATGAGAGGATATTTTTCGGCGCTCGAGTTTTTTTTTTTACAGTAAAGTGTGTTTCAGTGAGAAAGAGGTAATTAAATAGATGTTGTCTGGTCCGAGATGAAATGTTTATTATGCCACTAAAGTCCCCAGAGCACACAAAAACTCTCAATGTAACATGTTTCTGTCCTCGACTTACTAAAAAACAAGCTTTTAATTAAACTGTTTTTCTTGCGTGAAGAGGCTCATAACAGCGTGACTCCATTCACAATTCACAAAGATAAACTGAGATTTCTTTAGCTAGGAGAAAAGCTGGGACAAGCAAACTGAGGTGTTTACTGGACTCAATAAAAGATAAAGTCTATTGGTGAAGTCTGCGCATAAATAAATGACTGATTTAGACCAACAATACTATTGTTTTACAAAGTCATTGTTCCACTTCTACTGTTTTGCCAAATAAAAAGTGTTCACTTCATGTTGTATAGTATAAATCAGTTTTAAATTCAGTTCAGCTCAATAGTAAAGGTTTATAATCATTCACATCATGCGGATGAATCCTGTAGGAGTCCTGTAAGAGATTCTCTTGCCTTCTTATATGCGATCCAGTCAAACACTCTGTCGATGTCTGTGGCTTCAAACACTTCCTGAGAGATCGGATGAGAACTGGCCAAACCGTCCAATAACATCACCTCATGAAGAACATCAGTCAGAAACCTCTGCTTCTCCTGTGGACGAGAGACTTAATTCATGTTTTACAGTATCAAACACATAAACATGTCTCATAAAAACTTCTGTTTTATTTTCAAAAGTAGAAATAACTTTGAGCTGCTCTATAAATGAAATTAGAAAATCTCTCAAGACTGAAGACTTAATTCATGCAGAAGCTTCTATAATTTATTCCGATGAACCTTCTCTGTCGCCACACGTGTGTGTGTGTGTGTGTGTGTTGTGCAGGGGTCTTGCTGTCTCTCTGATCAAATGTCTCTCTGTAGGATTCACTATAAAGATAGGCAGAAGTTTTGGGTCAGATGAAAAAGACCCTCATCATTCACTGAGTCTGCGTCAGCAGAGAGTCACGATCTCAAATCCAGTGAGTTGTTCAGCAGCACTTTGAGGAAGATGTTACTCTGATCCCAGGTTATTTCCATTGTTTAAGGAACTCTAATTTTTAACTGCTTGAAAAGTAACATGGGAAATTACACTACAATTAGGCAATTAAACTTTAAAAATGGCATGCTTTTCTTTAAATTACCTTGACACCTTACATTAGAATATGTACTGATGCCTAATGTTCATATATTCAATGTTTGAATAAATGAATAATAACTTGCTCCATTTTTGTAAAACAACTTCTACTTCCAAAAAATGTTCAGCTAAACTAAACACAGCAAGAATGTAAAACCACAAACATTTCAGTAAAATGAGACACTATTTTCCTGTTACTCATTTAAAAGTGGTGGTTTGCCAGTTACCGTACATTAAAATGTATGAAATATGAATCACATGAATTATAAAGGAAAGTATTACTCTGCAGGTTAATATTCTAAACATCTTCATAATGGGCCTTCTGGCAAAATGTCTGCACTGACTGACCGAATTCAAAACTTTTTACTTTTAAGAAAACTATTTTATTATTTTTTATGTTCACATGTATTTATTAAAAGTGAGTGACTAAGATAAAGTCACCAAACTATCAGCTGACATAAACACGTCTAGTTTTGATACTCTGAATGTTTTATTATACCTTTATTCGTTGTCATTATGAATAACTCTTGCCCATTAAAGCTTTTGGCAGCTTGATTAAAAATCATGTTGAAGACATTAATCCAAGAAAGCAAGATATTTTAATCAAGGGATTTGAGCTCCAACAAACAACGTGTGGAAATAAGTCCAGAAACAAATGATCATCAAAACCCTTCATAGTTTTTTGTCAAAATAATGAGGCATATTCTATTAACCCAGTGATTCCCGGTTTAATGTGTTCAAACCACAATCACAATCTCATATTCTGATGTTAAAAGCAGATTAATGAAATGACACGAGACATACAGAAAATCAATACATCAACACAGAGACTATTTAACTGAGCACCAAACTAAGATTGATGTGTGATTGTTGTTTGATGTCTATCTTGTATGGCTTTCATACAATCTTTTCTTTTTGAGCAGCCAATGAAGGGTGAAACTTCCTACAATACAATTACATCTGAGTTATAATTATCTTTAGATATGTGTGTCATGAAAACTGAAACATGCTTTGCTTAATGGACTGCTGTAATAATTTATCCTTCATTTTTAACTTCAGACAGAGAAGATCTTAGAGAAAGTGCTACTTTTTGAAATCAGTGTCCTAATTTCTCAGGCTATTTATATCATCACTTAAGTGGTCTTGTAGAAGAGAACAGCATGTGTTTCATGTATTTACTTTCAGTATTTCCTGATGGACAGTCACTTTAAAGTCCAAACTACTATAAGCTTTGCAGGTCAATGTCAATACTGTATATAGACATAATTGATATATACAAATGGCCCTTCATGTTCAGTCCTAACATACATTATGGTGAATGTGAAAACACAGAAATCTCTCACAGAAAGAGAACAGCTGGTGATGTGGAGCTAATTTTATGTGAGTCACGTAGTGGGCAATATAAAATGAGTGCAATGAGAAGAGCTTCCATCTGGCCCATATGTGCTCTCAACAAGGTGTTTACGTCCAATGATTCTTCATTTAGATGCTGCTTATTAACGTCTCAACATTATCACCTGAAGTTTCTCACTGAACAAACACTTTAAGGCCAAAGATCAGCAGTGATGCCAGGCATTCAGGTCAGCAGCTTTGGAGCAATGCATGATGGGTAACTAAACCTCACTGAGAGCTTCTCTATGACGGATGTGAGAAAGAGGAGGAAAGCCAACAGTCCAGTATTGAGAGCAGGTTAAGGGACCGGCTGTTTTAATGACCTGTTATGGACTCTTGTCAAATCCATTCCCACATTTCTCAGTGCATTTGCGAGTTTTCACTTCAGGTTTAGACTCTTGAAATGTGTAATATTAACCAAATTGTGTAGGGAAAACCAGTAAGAATTTCCCTACACAATTTGCACTGGCGCTGAAGTGTTTCCATCAAAACTTATCGGATGAGAAAAGAAGCAATTGCTCCCTGAAATGATTTTCCCTAAATGATCTGCTTGGCTGATGCTCCATAACCAAGGTTGAGCAGAGAAATACTGGGACAGATGGGATGAGAAGGACGCTATGAGAATGAAAATGAGTGTATGAGCAGAAATCACAATCAAGTATTAAACAAGGGTGCGGTACTGACATATATCTTACTCAAATTAGATAAATACATTCAAAATTTAAATGACAAACGAATGTAATAAACTATTGGTATTAAATGTCAACAAAGCAAAATGTATTGCTTTAGATGTCGTCAGTGCTTACTCTTTGCAAATACCACTCTTAGTGTACACTGTGCCCAGTCTACTGTAAGACATATCAGGTCTTGTGATGAACACACAATAATCTTCACACTAGCTCATAATAAAACTGAACACAGTCAGTGAATTATAATGAGCAGAAGATCTGGTCTTTAATAATGTTCTCAAAACATTATCTATACATTGTTCATGCAGTTGAAGTCCATCACAATAGCAACATTACAGACCACTGATCATAGAAACATGATCATTGGTCAATGACATAGACCTAAAATGTATTAATATTCAGTATCCTAATGAATAAAAGGGCCTTCGGAAGAACTGCAGGACTGCATCATTCTTCAAAAAGAAGGATTTCTAGGGAAAGAAGGTGTATGTCCTGTTCGTGACTCGGGACATTCTCATAAAAGACGAATAATGTTCAGTTGAAGAAGAAGTCTTTGAAGGTGTCTGACTTCCTCCTGGTGTTCACAAACACTCCTGGATTTATTTATCATCCTGTAATATAGGAATATCATGATATGATTGTGTTTTTGGACAAACCTGGTCTGGGAAAATAGCCTCATAATTCTTGGCTGTTATACAACAATTCAGAGCATCACTGAACATATTAACTCCTGTGAGACAGTGAGCATTGTCAACTGAAGCCAGGCTTTGTCTTTCTCCCAACGTGAACCCATCTGGATGGGGGAAATGGATGTGGATGAATCAATAGACCATGAAACTTTTTTTACATTGCACTTTATTTATAGAAGTTTGGATTTGCTCTGGTTGATGTATGGCGGCCTCTTACAATTCCAGTGTTTCTTCAATGGCAGCTTTGGCACAAATTCCAGCTCTGTGAAGCTCCACAGTAAATTAGCAGTTTTTAAGGTGAGGTGTGGAACTGGCTCTAATGTAGTTTGTCTTTTTCCACTAAATAATTGTAGCAAATTTAAAAATAACTAGCACAGGTAAGAATGTTTAAACATGTTGTTTAGAATGCATTATGATCGAGCTCCCCAATCTGTCTGTGGAACTGTAATATTATTTCACAGCTTTCTTCAGATAATTGATTGAACATCTGTAAGATTGTTACATGAGGGTCCTGTGTTTCCCCCATTCTTTGTGTATTTGGTTCCATTTTCCCGCTCCTTGTTACTGTTTAGTTTATTCACCTGTTTACCTGTCATTATCAGTTCATTTGCCCCAGCCTTGATTCCCCAATCAGTTCTATGTGTACCACAACATGAGCTGGGAGCTTGCTGGACAAATCGCGGCTTTGACTCTGGATAGCCTCGATCTGTTCCTCTTCACTTGGGGGTTCATTCCTCTTGCTGCTTCCAGTTTGCTGAACGATAAGGCAATTAAGGCATGTTATCGGCTTGGGACTAAGAACGAGGAAGCTCCCAGATCTCTTTGGTCTGGACAGGAGAGAGGCTCTCTCCAGATGTCTGGATAGCTTCCTCCCGTGGCACGCCATGTCACCGCTGGTCGCATCCAGCCCTGCAGAGCCTTCTCCACTGGTCCCGTCCATTCCCAAGCCTTCTCCGCTGGTCCCGTCCAGTCCCAACCCTTCTCCGCTGGTCCCGTCCAGTCCCAAGCCTTCTCTGCTGGTCCCGTCCAGTCTCAAGCCTTCTCTGCTGGTCCCGTCCAGTCCTGAGCCTTCTCCGCTGGTCCCGTCCAGTCCTGAGCCTTCTCCACTGGTCCCGTCCAGTCCCGAGCCTTCTCTGCTGGTCCCGTCCAGTCCTGAGCCTTCTCCGCTGGTCCCGTCCAGTCCCGAAACTTCTCCACTGGTCCTGTCCAGCTCCGAGCCTGTTCCCACTCCCTGAGCAAGTTCCTGAGCCTGTCACTCTCCGCAAGAATATTTTGGGGGGGATATAGGACCGCGCCATGGCCACTCAAAGAGTCGTCTCTGACCACGCCCACCCTGCCCGCCTGAGGGAAACTCTTCAGCCTGGTCGCCTGAGGGAGAGGCTTCAACCTGGCCCCCTGCATTACCTGCTCCGCCCTGGCTGCCAGCACATCCTGCTCCGCCCTTCCTCCCATGGCAAGCCATGTCACCGCTGGTCCTGTCCTGCCCTGCCAAACCTTCACCGCTGGTTCTGACCAGCCCAGAGCCTTCGCCACTGGTTTCGTTCAGCCCTACCGAGCCTTCACCGCTGGTTTCGTTCAGTCCCGAGCCTTCTCCACTGGTCCCGTCCAGTCCTGAGCCTTCTACGCTGGTCCCGTCCAGTCCTGAGCCTTCTCCGCTGGTCACGTCCAGTCCTGAGCCTTCTACGCTGGTCCCGTCCAGTCCCGAGCCTTCTCCGCTGGTCACGTCCAGTCCCGAGCCTTCTCCACTGGTCCCGTCCAGTCCTGAGCCTTCTCCACTGGTCCCGTCCAGTCCTGAGCCTTCTCCGCTGGTCCCGTCCAGTCCCGAGCCTTCTCCGCTGGTCACGTCCAGTCCCGAGCCTTCTCCACTGGTCCCGTCCAGTCCCGAGCCTTCTTCACTGGTCCCGTCCAGTCCTGAGCCTTTTCCGCTGGTCCCCTCACGTCATGCCTGCCGATCGTCTCCGCCATGGCCACCCGAAGAAGCGCCTCCACCCTGGCTGCCCGAGGGAAAGTCTCCACACTGGCCGCCCGAGGGAAAGGCTTCAACCTGGCCACCTGTGTTACCTGCTCCGCCCTGGCCGCCAGCATTGTCCTGCTCTTTCCTGGTGGCTTCCTACTCCTGATTGGCCTAGCCCCCGTCAGCCTCCAGGGCTGTGTTATCCCTCTCTTCTGGTCAGTTATTGTTTGTGTATGGTGTGTTAATGTTGAATGTTAAGAATTTTGTCATTATAAACCATCATTCATCCTCCTTCGTCTTCATGCTATTTCCACTACCTTGAACTTTAACACAAATAGATTAAAGTTTCATTAAAAAAGCATGGCATAATCACTGGTTGCTGTGGCAATGCAGCAGGAATGAAAAATAGAGACATGATAAAAAACATAAAAGATATGATTCTTTCTGCACATGAAGTCAAACTGCGCTCATAATGACCATTGAAACAGTTGGAACAATTTGTTCTTTACAAGCTGATAATAAACCAGTCCATGCATGCCTCCATTTGGCCTGCTAATTCACTGACTGTAAGATTGAATGCACCCATTAACTTACTGTTAAACGTTGTCCTTTGAGCTACCCAAAGAGAAACTTTGGGACTATACAAAATTAAATCGTTTTGTTTGTTTCAATTTTAGTAAATCCTAATTAACTATAATTTATTTGTACCTTTTTTTTAAGGATTTGTTTTGGGCTTTTTGCCATTTCTACTCAGAAATGTTAAAGAAATGACAATAAATGATAGAGAACAACTACAATTGAGCACCATGGTTCAATCTGTTGAAGAATAATGCATTTACTGCTAATCTACAACTTCAACAATTATAAAATAATTTAAATACCAGCTGAGGATAGTGACAATATATAACATTAATGTGATGATACTGGTCTTGCTGAGTGACACTGACCAGGCAGCACTGATACAATTACATTCAGACAGTTGACTGACCCAACACTGAGAAATCACTGGACACAGCAACTCAACCCACAGAGACCAAAAAAAGACAGAATATGTCCCTGCTGCTGCCTGCTGCTCTGATCTTTTACTTGATATGAAACAGATTAACTCTAGAACTCTTTTGTTGTTTCATGCCGCTCTGCTATAGGTGGATTTAGTGGGACAGCATCTTCATTCAGTGTCGGGCTGAGTGTTCTTGTGGTTGGCACCGCACACACAGCTGACGATCCAGGACTCCACTATCGCCAAGAAATTATAGCCTAATTAATTTGTTCTATTTCATGCAATATCTATAAGGGTTAATATTTGCCTATGTATGGGCTAAGAAACTCTCAAGATCGCAGCCTAACGTACCTGGAACATTAGCAGATGGAATGACAGCAGATGCAGAATTGGAAGTGTCCAGCCAGCTTTTTTTATACAGGGGAATTATCTCTGAGCCAGTGTCAGATCATCTTTCAAGAGACCAGGAGACATCAATATCGGAACCTGCTCCTCCATCAGACTCTGGAGCATGGCTAAAGCCTGTGTGGCAGTTATTCTTCTTTCTGACATTGTTCTGTTATTCTCTTTTAATTTTTTTTTTTTTTTTTTTTTAGCTCGAAGCTAAAGCTAGATTTCAGTTTTGCAAAAGACTAAACAAACAACTAGAATAAATTGTTGCGAGGCAAGGCAACGGTGATGCATCTTCAAGAGCGGGAAATGATACACGGTCTGTAATGCATATGGTCAGAATGACTGTTATGGCCAAGGTAGAAATACTCAAAACTCTATTGTGTCTTGTAATTTTAATAAAATAACGATGATAGAATAAAATATAGACACATTTATAAGTCAGGGACCTATAGTTACATGGGTTTTATTTCAATAAATGAATTTATTTGAAAACAGTCAAAATGACTGCCTTGGTAGTTTTAAACAAGAAGTAAACATCCATAAAATGTGATATTTATTGGTCTTGAGAGGCTGATCAAACGTTGGATCAAACGTTGATCAAACACAGTATAGCACTAAAATGTAGAACAAAAAAAAACCCAATAATAATAATTGTAGTTTTTAGCTCAGCTGAATCTTCGCACAAAAAGAAATGCTCAAGATCATGTGTATATGAAAGCATTAAAAATGTGCACTTATTTTAGGAGATTCAGACATCTGAATAGCATGAAAACCATCAAAACTCTCTATGTATGTATATACAGTATAATATATTGTTTCATATCACATCTTTTTTCCATTCAAAGTTGTATCGTTGAATGAAATTATAGTTCTCACATCTGAGCAGCAACTCACCATGTTCCACTTTGGAAAGAGGAAATCAGTCCCAATGTACTCGAAGTAATGAGCGAATCCCTCCTTCAGCCAAACGTCCTCCCACCAAACTGGTGTGACTAGATCGCCAAACCACTAGAAGAGAAGAAATGACTCATCAACCGAGAAACACAGGGACCATTACAAAAATCGATTTCATGTTCAACGGCAAACAATTATGACAAACTGTTGTTTTGTACAAGAAAAGTGTTCATCAGGAAAATCTAAACTCTCCTATTCATCCAATATCAGCAAAAGCATATTTGATCTATTAGAAAAGTCGAATACAGCAGAAAAAACAACTCTCTTCCTTCAGAAATATAAGTACAGAACAGAAAAGTTGTTCACAAAAGGCTTCATGGAACATTGAGAAACCAGCAGAGCTTCTGAACTATGATTAATAGCGGCCTAAACAATCAATTATCTACAGTTACACAGTTTAAAACACATTTTCAGTTTCACAGCATTCATACCTGGGCGCTCCGCCAAGGACACCGTAAATGAACAGAAGAGATAAAAATAAGGAATCGATTATGAAACGTCCCCTTTGGATAGTAGAACAAATTCAAATGATCCCTGCCATTGTGTGCAGATGACAGTGTGCAAAACAAGGCTTCTGACTGGAAAGGATGCAACATTACAGTTGTGAATGAGCTGGATATTTTCCACAGGCTCTAAGGCTCAAGCAGGTGTGCTACTGTTGCATTAAACAAACCTCAAGAAGGCCTTTTTCATCCGAACATGACATCATTACAGCAGCTCAAAGGTTCTCCAAGCGCCTGACGGGACGTTCATCTGTGACTCAGACACATGGACTGAAAGAAGAACCGCAGCGTGGAGAGAAACAGCTGTTATCCTGCTCTCACAGGAACTCTCTAGTCACACAAGTGGCTTCCCAAAGGTCTTGTGACTTTTTCTGCACTCTTCTAATTCGTCAGATGTTCTGTTGCTAATGACAATGAACTAAGACAGTGAGTCACATCACGTCATTTATTGTGTGCCAGAAGCTGCAGAGCAAATGGATTGGTACAGTGAAACCTTGCTGAACAACACAGATAGCTCAACAACTCTAGTATATCAATGAGCAGTATGAGCCGTGAGACCCTCACACGATTACGCCTTCAACAATGTCTGTGAAACAGAGCCCTCTTGCTTCATTAAAGGGACACTCCACCCATTTACATTAAGCTTTCCATTGTTAGAAACCCAGTTATACTATTGAATGGTCGTGCAACACTCTCTCATTTCCCCTGAGATGAGAGAAATCTGTCTTCGGAAACTCCTTTTCCTCTATTTACTGGAGCCTATAAGTAAAACGCATTTGCAGCTGCACAGCCGTGTATGTATCTCTGCTGCACAGCTAGCGGCACATTGAGCGTCTGGCTCGCTCATAGGCTGCGCTGCGGCAACTGCACATCAAATGGCGCGGGCACCTATGACGTGCGACCAACAAGCCCACTAAGGGGGTGCCAAGTCCCCGAATGTTCCATTATAGCAGGTCTCTGTTCATTCATAGTCTGTCTGACATATATATTAGAAGCTGTGTGTCTGTCATGGATTTGCACTGAATTGATTCTCAAAAGTACAGAACAAAGTGCGTTCCGTATCAGTTCAGAACAATAATTTTATGTGTCAAATACGGAACAATTCCGTATTATACAGAATGGTTGGCAACCCTAACTGGAAGTGATCCATGAACGTCAGCTTTCTCATGCTCATTACCTTTACCAAATCATTCACTTGTGAGGATCAGTTTCATTGAGGATGTGTGAAAGCTGCTTGTGTAGATAGTAGACAAAAGGTTTGCTGCTCACTAGGTTTCGAAACCATCATCACATGGTTTATCCTGTTCATATTTGAATTTCAGTAAACATGAACTAGAAATGGAAATTGCTCCAAATCACAATGAGAGAATTTTGAAACTCTCTGTTTTGAGAAACAAAATGTATTTATTTCTCAGAATTCAGAGTGTGAAATCTCCAGTTTCAGAATAAAACTCCAGTCAACAGATATGAGTCAGATTCACCTCCACTGACAGCCATTTATCCTCATATTTAATGTAAACTCCTATTTAATGTCTAAATGTGTTTTTAAAGCAACCATGCTAAGACGTATGAGTACTGAAGCCTCACTCTCCAAACATATTCGTATCCAGAGGGCAGAATGTCACCTCTCCAATATGTGGGAAAATAAGAAAACTCAACATTTGCTGCATCGGCCTCTATTACGCTTGTTTATTGGCTGAATAACTGCAAATGAAGGACTGTGGCAGCTTCATTTAATTCTGAGAGGCTGAAATGAGATAAGAAATTAACAGTGATTGAGCGTCTGTGACATATAAACCCCATCGCTGGCAGCGGTAAATCTATTAACAATCGGCTGCTACAGTATATGACATTAAAATGAGTCCAGAAGAGCCCATACAATAGAAAAAGAAACTCGGTTACTAACTAAACCTTGGTTCTCTCTAGTATGGGAAAATCCATTTTCTCGAGAATAGTGAAGCCAAAAAATTATCCTTTAATTTACCTTAGATGTAAAACGCATTGTTGTACAGAGCAGAGCTAGGTGAGGCAGATTGGTCTCTCTGTGGCGATAGGGTGTTCTTTGGTTTTTATCTCGAAGCAAACCAGAACGCAGCACTAGCACGGCAGGGCAGGGTTAAGCAACACTCGTTCCCTCTACTAGAGAGAACCAAGGTTACGTTAGTAACCGAGTGTTGTTCTCTTACGAAAGTACTCTTGTGTTGCGTAAGATAGCTTACGCAACGGGAACCCAATGTAAAACGTTGTGTGTGCTGAAATCATCCACACATATTCCCAAGAGCAAGTGCCCGGAGAACACATAATAGTGAAGACTGTCGGGCCGGTGAACTGGCTCGACAGTCCAGGATGACCATATAAGGGAGTGTGATACCTCATATTGCATAAGATGTGTGCTTAACAAAAACAGTCAACGCGGAGTTGGGCTGAGCTGTATAGAATCAACTTAATCAGTTCATCAGACAACAGCGGTCTAAACTGAAAATAGTTTAGCCTGTAAGGCAGAAACTTTCAGGTTTGTAAAACCTAATAAATGTAGACGGAGAGGCCCAGCCTGCCGCCCTACAAATATCTTGGAGTGAAACACCACTAGTCCAGGCCCACTAAGAGGCCACGCCTAAAGGCTAATGATGACCTTTAGACTTATAAGCCAAAGCAATAGCATCCAATATCCATCTGGAAATGCTTTGTTTTTCGAGGTAGCTAGACCTTTAGCGCGGCCACCGAACGAAACGAAAAGCTGTTCTGAAGGCAGGGCTCGAAGCAGTCACTCTTCATAGCCTCTAGGACTGTGGAAAGGTCCCAGGCTGGAACCATGAGGAGCGAGGAGGATTCAGTCTCCTAGCTCACCTGAAGAAACGGGTGATAAGAACGTTCTTTCCCCGTGACTGACCATGCAATGGTTCTGTGAACGCTGCTATGGCTGCCACATATACTTTGAGGGTGGAGGGGGACCTGTCCGCATCCAAAAGCTCTTGAAGGAAAGCAACACCACAGTTTCAGTTTCAGTTTCAGTTTGTTTATTGTCATTGTTATCCAAAGGACAGCAACGAAATTGTGTTCGGAGCATACAACAACCGTACATGGTATTTTAAAGTGCACTAATAAATAAATAATAAATATCGCCTGTGTAGACATGGCCCATCAAAGTATATATAATAATAGTAGTAGCAGCAAAAACGGTTTACAAAACAAGAGACAACCAGAAACAGAGAATATGATCAGAGGTGGGTATGGATGAGGTTAATGCAGCAATGCAAAGTCCAGTTCACAGATATTCCACAGAGTATGTGTTGAGGGTCTAGGCTTTTGGCTGCACACCAGCCAGAAAACACTGACCACTTAGAAGCATAGACCTGTCTAGTAGAGGGCGCTCTCGCTTGTGTAATTGTTCTCAGCACTCCAACTGGGAGGTCAGGGAATCCGTTGACAGTCCACACGTGCAATGCCAATAAATCGGGTGTGGGTGCCAGATCGTGGCCCCGGCCTGAGAGAGGTCCTTTCTCAATGGGATCGGCTGTGCTCGTGAGCTGCATCAGTTCCGGAAACCATGCTCGGTTTTGCTAGAATGGCACTACTAGGAGCAAGGATGGCTTGCTTTCGCTTGTGGTAACAGTGCGATCAGGGGAAATGCGCAAAGTGGGCGGCTGGGCCAGTTGAGGGCCAGCTCATCCCTGTTCTTTGTGAAGAATATTGGCGTTCTCTGCTGACGTAAAGAGATCTATGTTTGCTTTGCCAAACATGTCCCATAGTAACTGGACTGTCTGTGGGTGCCATTCCCTGTGGGGACATTGTCTCTGGACAGTCTGTCCGGGGCCACAGGGTGATTTCCCTGCTACTTGAAAACAAAGAAGATACTGCTGGCAAACAGCGGTCTTTCGAATCGGCTTTGGCCATGACTCAGTGGACTCAGTGAAAACGTCTCTTAAGTCATTCTTAAAAAAGGAAGATGTATTCGGAGTTTTGACGACCAGTTACAAGAACAATTTTATATATCAACTAGCTCTGTTGATGGTGGGAAAACCCATGGGATCACTCATCCACAGCCGTTCATAGGTTGGTTGTAGCGCTATCCTGTTGCGTGCAGAGGGATTTTAAAAAAGGAACATAACTGTTTATCCCGCCCCCTCGGATTGAGGCATGCCAATCGTGAGTTCCCAGACCTAACATCTTGATGTAGGTATGGCTTGCCAGGCTATAGAAAAATGGCATCCTAATTAAAACCATAAAGATGAGCAGAGTCTCCAGAGAGCTGTGACACAACAGGGTGAAACAGCCAGCGGTGAATTCAATAAGCGTGACGGCTAATCTCTGTCTTTTACTCTCTCTGTCTCTCCTCCTTTCTCTTATAAGTAACCACACTTACTTATGCATTCGGTTTTGTGTTTAAAGCTTAAATTTTGGCTACATTCTTTCAATGTTAAATCTGATCTGCTTATATGCCCCAGTGACAGTTAGATTTTGGGTCCAGGATCATCCGTTTTCATACAAATAACATTGTGCAAATTAATTTGAAATCACCACCTTAAAACAGAAAAAGCAACGGTTTTAGCTTTACAGTGTGTTGTACGCATAGATAAATGTGAATTTCATTGGGAATGCCTACTTCAGGACATTGGACAAACTTCAGTTTTCTACCTGCAAACATTATGGACAACATTATAATTCCAGTCTCCATCACTGCTGCTTTTTTTCAATTATTCTTGATCATAAAACAGGGCTTTATGTGCAGAGAACAGCCTGATCTGGGTTACTCTCATGAATTCCAGCTCTAAAACTATCAAATATGCACATTATTGCTGTTTCTGAAATAATATCATGATTTCAAGCTCCCTGTGAGAGTGTTTTACTGTACCAGGTTCAGACTGAGTTCAGACAGAGCTGAATTATCTGTGCAGAAATGAGAGATGAGGGGATTGTTTTCTTTTATTTCCGTCTCCCTAAAAATAAAACAAAAAAGAGAAAACAAACGAAAAGAAAAGAGGAAAGAACTGCAGACATGCCGTATCATCTTTAAGCTGGACCACAATGCAGAGCTACGATTCAGCAGCATGAGGAAGACTATTCAAGAGATGAATCCAGGACAATACCGAGAACGCAGAACATCTCCAACACGCTCATCAATAATCCGCCATAACAAAAGGCACTAAAATCCAAGGTTCTCAGCGACATAAGAGCTGCAAACAAAGGCTGGTGAAAAAAATGAGCACATGCAATGAACAATTCCAAAGTTTCCATTACAATTCAGGCCAATGATGCATTTGTGGGCTTACAGTCACTTACTGAACATTATTTCAATGGCAAAAGAAAGAAAAACCCAGACTGCTTGTTTAATCTGCATCTAGTCTGCAATGATGCAAAGGCACAAAAAATATGTTATTTAACACAAGAAAGACATGTTCATGTGTAAAACACATAGAGAGAGAGAAAAAAAACTGAAAGAAAGAGGGAAAGGAAATCTTTACTTTCACAGTCCCAATGGAGGTGGTGCGTAAAGCTCTTTTTATATGAGCTGTGCATCAAATTCTCCAGATGTCCAATTACATCTGCTGTTCGGGCCATAACTTAACAATTGACCATCTTCACACTCTATGTTACTCTCCGACTCCCGGAGTTATTTCTCCTGGAGTTTGTCTGCCTTTCTTTTTCTGTCTTCTACAAGTAGATCAATGCCTTATTTAAAAAAATAAAAATAATAATAATAATAAAATTCTGTAGCCTAAATTTTATTTATTTATTTATTTCAGGTTTATTAAATAGGGACAATGCACACTAATGATACATGATTAAATGTACAGTGTACCAAATAGCCAATAGGCTATTTTACATCTGCTGTCCCAGGACAGATCTTGGTATGTCACACCTAAAAAAAAAAAAAAAGAAAAGAAAAGAAAAGAAAAGAAAAAAAAAAACAAAGTAATATAGCTGGGAGTTAGCTATATTGTCCCGTGTTTAGATAGGTTGCCGCTATCTAAACACAGCCTAAATGTAAGAGACATCATCCTTTTCACTTCAGTTACTTGTCCTGATTAAAATACAATTGCTTGCCGCACATATATAAGTTTAAACCTAAATCCAATGACAAACAATAAAATTTTGTAAAATTAAGACATTAATCAGAATTATTAGTGCATTAATTATCTTGTCTCTTCGATGCGCATGCGCGCGCTCGTTTAATAAAGTCTGCGAAGTTTGACGGAGATTCACTTCCTGTCAGCTGTCAGGACAAACCTCTTAATGCAAAATGGTGAATTTATAACATTTACAAACAAGGATATACACGTTAAATGTAAGTTAAGCGTTGGGGAAAACATGTCTCACGCATTAAACATGACACATACGAGCACCTGACAGAGGAGCGAGCTAAGTTTCGCTAGGCTATGCGCGTTGTTTATGTTAATATATTAATCATTCTCATATTTTGGGCAGCTTGGGTAGAGAACCTTTCCCGCAGCAGCTCACTTTCTAAACTATTTTTAGGTGCCTTTCATAGAAATAACTAAATTAACTGTGCTATTGTAACATTACAATAACTGAGCTGAGGTTTTCAGTGCACATCGACCAGACGCGGTTAATCCATCCTTACTGAAATTCGTCGATCAATTTCCATTATTGTTATCTTCTTAACTAAATTCCTGCTGGAACAGTTGCTGATGAGACCCCTCAAACTACCTTTATTAAACCTCCATTTAATAAATAACAAACATTGCATTATTGTTAACACAAGCACATAGCCCTGGCAATGAAATATGATCAAATATGCATTGCAAGGAAGTTAGTTTAGAGAGTTTTGAGCCATTCCTTCTTTCAGCTAATTTAAGGATTTAAAAAAAATGCCACAGAACTTGGAGAAACTACATTTGTGTGAATTAAACTGACCTATAATTAAGCAAATATTAATTTAATTATTAAACTGCTTCGAGATGTAGCACTTTAAAGTCACCATGAAATCAAAATATCCATATCTTATATTTTATGGAAAATGCAGTATTTATTATAATTTATCTGTGCACATCATCATCATTATTTATTTATTTTTATTAAGGGCCCCATGCAATCTTTAATCAAAATAACTTCCTCTCCCTCTTGCAGTGACATCTCTTCTCTGATGATGTGAAGTCTTTCTACTCGGAAATACGTCACAATACTTCATGCCGACTTGAACAGTCATGAAATAAACAACACATCAACTGACGCTGACAGATCAGGTGAGATGATTGGACTAAATTCCTAAATTCTTGTTGTCTTCTTCCAGCAACGTGAAGTTTAACTTTGACCGTAAAACAATGTGAAACCAAAGTAATTGTGTTTTACCTGATGGCAGATCTCATGCACCACCACCATGGTGAGCTCCATCTGATAGGAGAAGGAGGAGACATCAGGATCCAACAAGATCTTCTGCTCCACAAACACACTCAGGCCCCAGTTCTCCATGGCTGCATAGGGATGCTTCGGCACCGCCAGGAGATCTGCACACAGTATCGCAGATCCAAGTTAATACAAGTAAGTGTTTTGAAAAAAAAACAAAAAAACAAGTTAACAAAAACTGTCGTGCACCCACACTGCAAAGTAGCTCAAACAGCAACTGGGTCATTCAACTGAACTGTAAACAATGACCTCACAACCCGTTATTATTTGCAGTATAAATGGATCATAAGACATCCAGTATAGTTATTTATTTAGTGTACATACATTTGTACTCTTCAATCTAATAAATGTACTAAATACTACTCTATTCCATTATATTTTGTTCTATACTAACGATTATTGAAAAATTGATATTTGTTAATATTTGCTTCTTGGCTTTCATCAAAAAGATAATGTCTAAATGATGTTACGTATTCAATCATATTACTTTGAATCCCGTAGAGCAGTGGTTTCCAACCTTTTTCCCAAGAAAATATTTTAGGGCCCCCTCTTCACATTAAATGATATTATTAAGCTTGCAGTAAGGATGACAAAATATGTTGTTTTCAAAAAAAGGCATGTTTACTATAACCAGATATTTTTGTTTTGCAGAAATAATAGCCTATAATATTAAAAATTCAATAACAAAAACATCAGTAGACCAAGGACAAGCCTTTATATTGGCTATATTTGAAATGCAAAACTATTTGAAATGCAAAAACAAAAATATTTACAGTGGTGTATAGATAAAAAAAAAAAGAAAGAATATAGGGTATTACTAAATGACTGCTGTCTGGGGCCTCAATACTTGAAAGTTATTTGTGAGGCTTTATTTTTTACGCTTTTGGCACTATAGCGAGCGATAATAAACTTGCGTTTATTTACAGAATAATGCGTCTCTCGGAAGAACATTGTATTAGAACTACTTCTCTCTGTGTACGTCTATGGCGAGTCACGCAGGTAAATTTAAAGGACTGGAAAAATTTAAGGACTTTTATTTAATGCTCATTGCTCAGAATATTTCAAAATATGAGGCGACCCGCCACAGAGCTCGCTGAGGCCCTCTTGTGGGTCGCAACCCCCTGTTGGGAACCGATGCCAAAGAGGGCATAGTTTCATTCCAAAATATACATTTTATTCATTTAGGTTGACAAATTTTTGGGGGGTAGTTTCCAAATAATGCGACGCGACTACATCTTGCTCATTTGTAAATTGTTTTAATTAAAAATAGATAAATGCTCTTCAGTGTTAGATAACTGCATCATAAACATAACACACACAAAGTGATGTGGATAAGACCTTGATCAAATGCGTTTATCATCTAATTGCGGTAATCAAAGATCATTGAATTTTAAAGCTGAAACCAGACACGGCAAAGCAACAAGATATGCAGCTCTTTAATAATATTTCTCCCCAAACACATTTAAAATAGCTAATTTACTCAACAGTGTATCAATGAAACAGCAGACAGAGAATCAGCTGTTTTCAACGCCTCCACCTCCATCAGCCTGTCTCAGGAACGATTCATATGCCAATGAGAAGCGGTTAAACCTCTGCAGCTGTTAAATCCACGTCTTCTAATCAGCCACAGAGGAAGAGGAACAGTGGAAAGCTGTAACATGATTATCCTCCGGGCTGGTGTGTGTCTGTTTGCCTTATTTGCATGTTTCATGAATTCATCAGAAAGCAACTGTAGAGTTTTGGAGGGAAGCTGCAATTGTCATGGCAACTAATACATCTGTGAAGCTGTGGCATGAAAATAAAAAAGAATTTCAAACGCATCCCTGATAATGACAAGACCCCATTAGGACTGTACGTTCACACACGATTAATGTTTTACCTTTACAGAGATGATGATGGAGCGACGAGCTCATCCAAGAGGCAAAGAACAATGAAAACAGCAACGCAAAGGTGAGAGACTGAAAGAGCTGCTCTATTAAATGACTTCGGCAAGTAAATCAGAATCAGACTGTGCAGGTTTAATTAGCCATTGTTAATGTTCTTTATGGGTGAGAGACTTGATGCACTTTTAATTGGGCTTTTATACAGACTCATACAGCAATTACTCGACTGATGCTTTTGAAGAGAGAGACAAAAGTACTATAATCAGAGATGTACTTCAACTCAACCACCTTCCGTTAGGACTAGATATAAAGACTGATCACCTCTAGACACCTCAAGGCCCAGAACCAGTAAAAGTGATAATCCTTCAGTATATATCAAAGTAGCTTAGCAGTACTTTTAGTGAATGAAACAAAGAGTGTTAAGAGACAAACATGTCATTTACTACAACTGTAACAAATAGTCCTTATAACCAAGTATATGACCTGTGATAATATATGTTAAAATATGATAATATTCAAGAAAAAAAAACAAGTGTGAAACTTAATGTTGCTTCATTATTTAAAAAAATATATATTTCCAAACAAAGCAGCAGCAGAATATTTCACATCTCATAGTTACACACAAAGCAGTGCCGTTCCTGAATGAATCAGCGTTTTAAACTTATCAGTTGGGTGAATGATTCAATGACGCACTCATAATTGCAGTCACTTTATTCGTTCCTGAATGTATCAGTGTTTCAAACTAATTAGTTGAGCGAATGATTCAATGACTCACTTATAATGGAAGTCACTTTATTCATTCCCGAATGAAGCAGTATTTTAAAGAAATCAGTTGAGCGAATTATTCAATGACTCACTCATAATATAAGTCACTTTATTCGTTCCTGAATGAAGCAGTATTTTAAAGGAATCAGTTGAGCGAATTATTCAATGACTCACTCATAATGGCAGTCACTCTATATGTTCCTATACTTTATACGTTCCTATCTGAATCGGTGTTTATAAACAAATTGGTTGAGTGAATCACATTTAGATTTTGATTTATTCATTTATCAGATGCTTTATCCAAAGTGACTTAATTGAGGAATATTGAGATTCATCTTAAGGAGGCATAATTACATTTGAAATATAATACCAGACTATTTACTCCTGATACCATCAATGTACTCCGGTATAGTTTTTTTTTTTTTTTTAATCTTTTATGTTGTTTCATTCACTGCTGTACCTGCAAGACATTATTAGCAGGTGTATGACCTGTAGTTAATATATATAACGCTCTACACGCTTTCTGTGTTGAATTGAACAGGTCCTTTTTGGCAGAGTGTTGTAACATTACAGAAATCATGATGATGATTATGATGATGCAAAGTTGGAGAAATTCTATCTCTCCCTGTCATTCACTGTCTCACTATTAAAAAAGGCTGAATGAATCTGTGAGGGAGATGAAGAGGGGGTTTTGTAGATCGGGGCACAGTGAATGGCAGGAGACAGATACAAGAGCGTCTGGAAAAACAGCAAGATCAAAATAAACAAACAGCTTGTGTTTTTCAGAGAGCAGAACCTCCAATAGCCTCACTAAAGCAATTATTCATCACGTTCCTCACACCTCAGTCTGTTTCACACACAAACACACACACAGCCTGAGGTGTAGTTCTGAACATTCAGGTCTATCTGGGAGTCTGTATTAATACCTGCATTGCTCTTTGAGGCTGTTTTAGGGCGAACGGGCCTGGGGCGACACAGGAAGTGAAACAGATGGAGGCGGGGGGAAATGAGAGTGAGGTTTTGCTCACAGCAGGGTTCTGTCTGTCAGCACGCACCTGCTCTCATTCAGCACAGAAACACGTACTGTTCACTTCATAAAGATCAGCTATACACATGCCTGTTTATAGAGTGGCAGAATACAAAAGAATAAATACAACTCTACATTTTACTATTCAACTGCGTTTCCTTTTCTGTGTTTAAATCACAGTTACATTTTTTAGTTTGATCCAGTATAAAAATGTGAATATATTGTTATAAAGGCATAAATATTATGAAAACAAAATCTATCTATCTATATCTATTATCTATTTCTATCTATACCGGGTACATCCATCCATCCATCCATATATATATATATATATATATATATATAGTATACATAAGATGTTGGTAAGGCACCATCATGGGAAACGGAAATGCTGGTGGGTCAGCTATACTAGCTTATTTTTGCTTGAGAACAGCATGACCACTTAGACCAACTCTGTATTTTTCAGCAGGGTAGAGTTTGTTTAGATCAATAAATAGGAGGCATTTTTGTTTCTTTGTTGAAGTGGTGAAAATGTTAACCTTGTTAACAAATATCACCTTGAATCTAGAGTGCAGCTCTTCCCTCAGGCGAAGACATTTCCATACTGTAGTTATTGTAAATGCCACCTGATGTAATTATGACTCAATTAATAATTCCACAATTACACTGTATTTGTCTCTGAGGAACCCGAAGAACGCTGAATCCCAAACCACGGAAAAGACTTAATAAAGTTTCTTCATTAAATAACACTTAATGACCGTCAGGGCGTCTGTGTTTGAAGTAGTTATACATGAACATGAGCAGCACTAATTCTTTTCTTGATGCTAGTTCTGTTTGTGAGGGGTTGTGAGGGCTTTTCATTAGCAACCTGCTTATTCACCAACAACACACTGAAAATACACTGTGAGAAACACATGAGCCAGTTTACTCTGTTTACCCTGATTTAATTTATCTAAACTAGCTGCTGCGGTACAGACACGGTCAGTGAGGATCATGATTGTCAGGTATCGTAATGCTAACTTCACTTCATGGTAGCTTGGATTCACTGTACTATATAGCCATACAATCATTATTAAATATTGCAAACATTTGTATTGTTTGAAACAATACTAAGACTCGTAGAATTTAGGAATATAAATTTTATACCAGCAGTCATGGCACTCATTCACTCTTATTAAAGCAGCTGAAAAAATTCTCAATAGCCTACAAACAGCATTAGAAAACGTTCAATCCAGCATTAGTGGTCAACGCTTTAGGCTGTAATGCTATAAGCGCTGTCTTGTTTCTTCTGTTTTATAACTCAGATAAGAGTTAAACTGGCCTGACTGCAGTGCTGGGCTCTTTTAGTGCGAATCTGTTTAGCATGTTGAACTGATATAGGTTCTTGTGTAGGTTTGTAGGAACAACACTTGCACACGTTTCACCTTCAAC